GCTTTCAGCTGAATTAAGTGCATGAAGAGCCTACAGACATTCAGCCTTGTAAAAATGATTCACCACATACATATATGTGTTTTTCTCCTTTAAAAAAATACCACACAACAATCAAAAATACTGATATAAGAGAAGGTGCAGCAGCTTTCTGACAGCAAAGCTATTCAAAGCTTATCCAGATGTTTTTGGAGGATGGAGATTAGGCAATAAAATGATTCAGCCAGTACAGCTGAGTACTCACAGCATTAAAACCCAAGGGATTGAGGAAGGTGTTGAGCTCACCTGGGTTAAATACTGACCACACAGACGTCAAGCAAGCTGTGTACTTAAGAAGAGCTATTACATATGAAAACCACAAAGTGAACGAGCACCTATTAATGCAGTCTGATATGCGCAGAAGCTGCTGTTGCCAAGGTATTAGTCATGAGTTTCATTTCTTCCCTTGCATCTTTCTTTCCCCTTAGTTAAGATGAGCAGAATGACAGCTCAGCTCTTCCTTGTCTGTCAACAGTACAAGATGCCAATTGCAGGCTCCTCTTCCAAATTCTTTAAAATACACGCAAAAGAAAGGGAAGAGAGCACAACTGTGTGCTTAAGGTATCGTTCTGAAACTATGACTACTGTCATTGGGAAATGAGGCAAGTTACTTCTTCTAACCTTCACCACCATTCTCTCACTGGTTTTCTGTTTAGATGATCTAATCTCCACAGACAGAGATTTTCTTCCACTTTTCATAGTATCTTTGTAATCATTGCTAAAACTATTGTAACTATGAAACTAAGAAATGATAATAACCAAATACAATACACAGCTCATCTGGTATTCACTGTAAGAGTTTAACTCTCTCCACATGTCTTTCACTATGAAGCTGCATGCAGCTTTGTTTTTCATGGAGAAACATCATCGAGATTTCTCAAGTGGCGTGACATGTTATACTAAGCTGGCAACAGACTGCATCATCTGTTCCAAGATCCAGGGAAATGAGCACATGATCAGGCTCCATTGTAGTCTTCCACAGTGGCAATGCGTATATTCAGTAGGGGGAAGTTAACAGGGTATTGGAAAAAGGGTGGAGAGTGAGCATGAACCCCTGGGTAGGGCTCGTAAGCAAAACCCAGGTGAGTCACTTGTAGGCTGTTGGAAAGAAAAAATGGTTGAGGAAAAAATGAGAGAAAGGTGGGAAGACCATGAGCAGCACAAGCCAAGGAGAACAAATAACCTCTCTACAGAGACAGGTGCAAAAGTTGTGATGGTCCTCTGCTTAAGTTAATGCTGATTTGTTTTACATTAATTTCAGAGTGTTTGTCATTACTTTACATTGCTTTCCACATCACAGTAAATATTCTCAACTTCTGACCAGCACAGCTGTTCACTCGTTGTCCCAGTTCATATGGTAAGCAAGGACTATACAGATCTGGGGCACAATGCAGAGTTACCCAGGTCCTTGATGCATCTTCTTTGTCATGCTTGTGAGGAAGTAGTTCTCAACACCTAATGGATTTCTGTTTTGAACACAAAAGGAAGATGTATTCTGGTTTCAGTAATTGCCTTAATACTACCCCTTCCTAACTTCTGAATGCTTGCCACTCTTGTAATTATATGGTCTATTTTCAGGCTGCAGTGATAGTGTTCATATGATATCCACATTTTATCTGGCATTTGAAATATTTACATTAAATTAGTATAATCAATATCTTATTTTTTTGTTCCCACTTCTATGCAAGAAACCAAGATGAAAAGGTAAAATTGGAAGATTATATCCATTTTCAGAATTAAGAGACAAAAAACACATTATTTTGGACTTCTTGTTACAAAAGCTGCTGTCATTGACCAATCCACCGTTACAGTTTTTTTGTAGACATTTAAGATAAAAAAGAAGTATACTTGTCATCCAGATCCTTGGCTGTTGTAATTCATCTCCATTAACCTCCTATAACACAAGCTATTCTATAGCAACTTTACAGATCTATTCTACATTAATGTCCATGCTATTTGACACAGATATGTCACGACAAGTTTCTGGGTTTTACATAGCATTAAAAACTGAGAAAAAAAGAAAGAAAAAAAAAAGAAAAAAAAAAAAACAGAAAAAATTCCAAACTACATAAAATTTTCATTAGAAGATTTGAGCAACATCTTTTGAAGAACATCTACAAATACAACTGGGACAACTCTCACAACAGCCATACAACGTGCTTAGTAAATGCTTAGTGAGGCAGTGTATTCAAGGTTGACATGCATTATTCTAGTCACACAGTTACATTGAGTGAAAACTAAAAACTGTCTGAGAAGAAGAAAGAACTGGGTTGCTGTTCTTTGTCTGCTTAGCAAGGACTTGAGCAAAAGAGACAGGGCAGGACAAAACCAGCCTTGACTCCACTGACATACTAAGTCATCCTAGGTATGGACACCCTCCTCACTATCCCCCGATGAGTATCAGAAACACTAATTCCACCCGCAGAATATTCCTCCCTTCATCTCTAGTCCCTTGCTCTGTTATACTCCATGTGAAGAAAGAAACTATTTCCTTTTTTTTTTTTCTCATTCTTGGCTCTGATTAGTTGTCTAATGGCTGGAAATCTCTGCTTTCTGAAGCAGTTGCAGAGCCTGCTGTACTGGAATATTTTTTTGTAATTAATTCTCAGAAATTTAAAAGAAGGGAATCCACTGCTCAGCTATGCATGGGACATCAAGTTTGGCAGTAGAAAAGCTCTGCTATTTTTGAGCATCACATGTAGCCCATTGCTAAAGGTATATGCACAGTAGCTGCTGAAAGTCTAGTTTGATGGGTAGCTTGATTAATTGCTTAAGTGAGACTGATGTATATTTGTTTAATACATCTAACTGGTCACGTAAATAAGATATCATTTGCCTTCTGTATGTACAGATGAATTTACTTTCATTACGAGTACTGGCACGGAATAAAACAATGTTGTATAGGCAGGAAATCCAGTCTTTTCTTTTCTCCTCATCTGCTGAAGCATGAAGATATAGATCTAGGGTGTGTAAACAGCTTACTGTTGATTATGAAGATGTAACTTCATTAAACATCCTGGATATTTCGATAGGGAACATGTTCCATACTATAGCAGGCTAATATGTTGACTTAAGTACCCTAATGTAGCCATAGTACCCTACCACTGATTTAAATCCAAAAGTCCAGAAAACACTCTATAAAGGTACTCTTTTTGTTTTATTTTATAATACTGAGTGAGTGAGGATCCAATATATTTAGTTCGAAACAAAAGTGGAAATATGGACTGTAAATGAACTGACAAAAAATTGACACAAGTCAGTTGAGTAACACCTGAATGGTATATATGATTATACTCCCCTATTTTTTTAGGAACTGTTTATGAATTTATAATCACAGGCTAGGATTTCAGCAAGAGCCTACAGGAATTAGGCATCCAATTGAGATCACACTTTACAATTGGTAAACTTCCCAACTTTGTCTTCTTCTTCATCAGAAATGACAAGCATCAGTAAAGATTGCTGAACTGAATTTTGCCAGACATGCAGAAGGTAATACTGCCCCATTGTATTCAAAGTAAGTCCTTTCTGCAATCCCTATACATCCTAGTATGCATGATGTTTTTGTTAGCTGCTTAATTCTCCAGTGGCTCAGCCACCCCTATTACATCTCCCAGGTGCCTGTTGCTAAACTCCCCACAGAGCAGCAGCTACCTTCATTCTTTTAGTCCAGCAGGAGGCTGAAGATGAAGATGAACTGAGGGCAAATGTTATGCACACATGAAGTGATGGACTCTGCATTGTTTTTGCCAAACAACAGTTTTAAAAGAACCGTATCACTAACTTTGAACTTTTTGGCCATGTTTAACCAAATTAAAGTAAGATCTATTGACTCTGGAAAGAGAGAAAAATCTTCCCTGAGCAACTTATCCTACCCATCTTTAATGTGAAACTAAAAAGAGAAAGGGACATGAAATAGCAATTGGTAATTTGAAATGATAACCCAGTAGAACTGCAAAAAATCAATGATCGGGAAAAAAAAATAAAGTGTTAAATATTTGCCGTTAAATATTTATTTATTTAACCCTTATAGGACTGATTCATTGCTTGTTTCTCTAATGTGTAGGCCTCATGATTCCATGGATATGAATGGAATTGCACAGGAATGGTACTGAAATAATGTGGTCACAGGTCATTATCAGTCCAACTTTTCTGTCCTACGAAGCTGTGGTGAAACTGGCTGACTGTCTGAAATTACTCCTGCTATTTTCTACAAGAAGACAAAATTAGACTCTGCAGACAATTCAGAAGCAGATGGCAAGGTCTGAACATGTTTCTAACAAATATAGGATACAGTCCTGGTAAAGCTGCCTTATTGTTCATTAGATAGGTGCCGAATGCTTGTCAGTGCTACACAGGGCTTTTCATGGCATACACACATTGTGGCTCTGAGATAGTGCAGGACCCTTCAAGGTTATTTGTTTTTTTTTTTACAAGATTAGCTGCCCCCAAAGACACAGAGTGACTCCCTAATGCTGGGTTCCCCAACTTAAAATACTCCACACTTCCTCTGACTTCAGAAATCAGCAGTTTATTGTTTTGTTTTGCCCAGAAGCTGCCTGTCACTACTGAAAAACTTAGTATACTTACATGCCATCTGCATAACTAAAGCAGCATCAAACTCTATTTGTTCCAGGACCTGCTTTTTTTGTGGAGGATGAGTTGTGTTTTATTTGCAGTCATGTTATGTTTCTTTATTAGACTGAACCTTAACAAAATATACGTACATATATGTATATACTCCTCCCAAAATGCAAATACCATTGGCCATTTGCGGAGGAAGGAAGAGCATCCTCTGTTTACCTGTTCATTTGCTAAAATCCCCCAAACCCCACCTTTCTAGACTCTCTGAATCAACCTGGGACTGAAGCCAAAGTCACCTGCTATATAAGACTGAGAGAACACAGGTGAACTACTCCTCCTGACCAACCTTAGACCCAGCATCCTTGTGCCAGACTCCACTCAAGATGGGGTTTGGCAGGAGGATACGGGTAACAGAATGGACTTTCCTGTTAGCAGTTTGCTGTATCCATCAGACAGGTAAGGAGTTTTTTGTTGTTGTTGTTTGTTTTTTAGATCTATTAATATATTTTAAGCAACTAAACTCATTTTATTGGTTCACTTAACAAATGGTTGCACTTAAATGAGACTTCTCTGTATGTTACTTTCATTAAATATTTAGTGTCTGCCTATTAACTGGACTGATTTAATTTAATGTTCCCTCAAGCCACTGAATATAACCATATTTGGAAGGCAGTCTTGCAGAGCAAACCAAAAAGAACCATTATTCATGTCCATTCATTCAAGTGTCAGTTGTTCAGTACTGGCTATGCCTTACAAAAGCATTTTATTTCTTTTGTGTTTTGTAGTGAGATTGATTATGAATGTTATGTTCTTTTTATACAATTTAAAACACTACATTTCCCCATTTCTAGACCAGATCACTGGTCATTCTTTTCCACCAACTAGGAGCTAGTATCAGATTCCTCAAGATTTCTTGCAGCTTCTTTTGCAAAAGAGACTGGAAGGGTATATTCATGTGGCAATGATTTTCAGTAACGTTTGTACATTGATAGCACAATAGGTGTGACATTTATGTAAATTGTTGGTTTTGAGTATGAGCAGGACTGGGAGATTTATCTGATGCATGCAATCCATCATTTTGTGTGTGTGGATTTTTTTTCTCCTGACAATATTACATTAATCAGGGCTGATCTTGTCAGATTTTATTAAGTCCTGTTCAGTTAATCGGACTGCTCAAATAGAAATTACTTGCATGAGTACAAGCTTGTTCAGTCAATTCCATTCATGTACAGTAATTACTGCCCTGTCAGTTAACATTTTAAAATCTTCAGATTGCCTCTGAATTTATATTTCATATCATTTTAAAAACAATCACAAGTGCAAATATAATTTTTGGCTATGAAATAAACATGTATAAGTTGATAAACAGGGTAAGTTGATTTTAGCAAAAATACAACAGTCACTTTGAGTGTAAGCTTACACTCTTAGAGTTATACAACATCAGTCAAATCATCCTCAACAAGCTGAACAAGCAAGTTATTTGTAAGGTGCAATGCTAACCTGACAAATTGCTTTGATAAATGAATAGTGGTTAGACCAAGTCCAGTGAACTCCTCTGCATTCAAATCTCACTCTGTGAAAAATATTTTCAGATGTCCTAACTGACTACATAATATTGGCCTAATTCCATGCCGTCTTCACAAACATTTTGTGCCTGACTTTATATTCTAGGTCAAATTCCAAGTTTTATGAATTGATTGTAAAGGGAATTGCGTATTTGGATTGACAGACGGATATAGGCCAGGCAGGGTGCATCCAGAAATATTTCTAATGATTTGCTCAGTTTCCAAATAATCAAAGAGTAAATTATCTTTCATGTTCTTGTAAGTGAGAGGCACTTATTTTTATAATGGTCAACAATGTGGCATTGTGCAATTGCTAGATAAAGCAATACAGCTAGAATTTCCTTGAAAACTATATCTGCTAAATAAACAAAAGCCCATGTTATTTCCTTGAGAAAAATTAACAGACCAAAATATGTGTATATACTATTTTGCTTTGTTACAAAGGTTCTCACAGTAGAATAAAAAAAGCATTCACAATATAGGGTGGCTCTCACGTGAAGTCAGGATGATTTTATACCCGCTGAAGTTCCTAGGTGTTGCATGAGAGCTAATTCTGGCCCATTATTAAGACTTACAGAGGCACTTTTTAGATTTTCTCAACAATTGTAGTGATATGAATGTATTTACATAATCATATCATCTGTGATACCGAAAGACAAAGAGGAAGTGGAAAAAGCATAAAATTACTTCTTTGTACGACACTAGTAGTCACTCACAAAGATAAATGAGAAAAGAACAAAAGTTTAGGCCTGAGAATAAACTTTTGTAGATACTAGGAGAACTTCTAAAGATGGTGAGGCTGCCCAGAACCCTCTCCTCCAAAGCCAACAGTCTCTTGGGGTCCTCTTTTGGAGTGGGGTATTTAATCCCTTCAGGCAGGCATCCTTCAGCTCTGGGATCAAGTACTCTGTCTGCTTACATGGTGGGCAGGGACACCATTTACATTAGAAATCCTTCCCTATTTGGTAAGTTGGGTGTTATGAATCTGGTTCAGAGTCTGTGGACTGTTCCCATCTATTGTATGAGCAAAAGGCGATGTAATTAAATTATACAGCCAGCTCCTCTTCAACTGACAAATTCTCTAGACACCAAGAGTGCTCATTCACATAATCCCGATCAGGATTCAGCTATTAGTCATTTCATAGCCTAAGTCCTCTGAAGATTAAGACTCAGCATGTTATAGGTAGGTGTTAGTCAACATGTTCCAAGCATGGTTTCTACATTCTGGGAAGATCGATTCCTTTGCAAGATGAAGTTGTAGCCATTGTTCTTAAATGGGAAATGCCTGCCATATTTACTTATAGAAACCAAGAGCTTAGAGCACCAAACCACTTAGAACCCAGGATCAGGTGTTTTGTTTTGTTTTGTTTTTTATTCGTGAAAGTGTTGATTTGTCATCTCTCAAAAATTCCGTGCCAGTACATCCTCTTCCAGTTGAGCCATGCACGGAAACGAATTCAAAACTCATGGAGACAGAATAAAGAGGAGAACTCATCTGGAGGACAATTCATGTAGTTGAGCCAGTACCCATCTAACTGGAGATACAAAAATAATCCATGAGGCAAAGCACAAGAGTAGGACAGTTTAGACGTAGCTGAGAGCCTTAATCATGTAGCCACATGTCCTGCTTTTCCCACCTTTGCCATCATCCCACTCTTTTCAGCACCATGTCTCAGCTTCAGGTTGGTTAGCAAGAATCCTTGATCAGATAGACTTACAGCCTGATGTTTAAGGTTTTCTCCAGAGAAGCCACAAATTTGAACCATTTCAAAGTGAGAAGAGGGTCAGGATCAGGATTTCTGCTCTTTGGGGGAATGCTTAAGCTGCCAGGCTGTTGTATAAGACAGTGAGGAAATATCTCCTTTAGTAGTTGTGTTTTAGAAGAGAAGCATGAGAATGTCTCATTCTTGCACACACTGACTGTGGGGCCCTGAAGGTTCTTGAACAGATGGGCAGTCCTCATGCAGCCTTTAGTCAAGCAGTGATGCTTAAAACATGTGGAGTAAGACTGGGTTTAGTGTTCTGCTTACTTCTCCTGGATTACTGCTCAGTGTGTATGCACATCAGTCAGAGGTGTCTTGTTGCATCCTGCTGTCATGCCTTTGGAGGCAATCCAAAGCCTTGTGCTTAGGCATTAAAGAAACTAGTGAAGTAGCTGCAGCCATCACTTGATCTAGCACTAAATGCCTTATTTTTTTTAACCAGTTCTGTGCTTTTTCTTAAAATTATGTAAATTCTATACAGCAATTTTAATAAATGACTTTCTTACATTTTGTGAATTCTTGCTACAATTTTCACATATTAGTGAGATTTAGTGCAGCAGTGAAATAAGGGATGTGATCCAGTCATTACAATTCCTTGTACTGAGTTTTAAGGGAAACAAAAAAAGCAGATATATATGAAAGGTTATTTGGATTTTGAACTATTTCTATTTGTAATAGAAAGTCTCTTTCTGTAATTACATTTTACTTCCTTTTTGGGTCAGATTCATTTTCTCTCATGTTACAAAGGACTCTCCCCTTTGTCTTACAGAGATGTATCTTTCTTCTTTGATCCTATCTAAATGTTTAACTTAGAAAGTTCAGATATAGGACATTGTACTTAAAATGCTTTTTACAATTTCTTCACAGGAGCTCAGACTGAAATACAGCAGGAAACAGGAAGTATCTACACTGAGGTTGTTCAGCAGGAACAAAACAGTATGTTGGTTTATACTCTGTGCATGTGTATTGTATTTGTATTTATTTGGCACATCTCTACTAAGCAATAAAAATGCCTAAAAACCTCTTTAGCAAATTGCTAGTGATGTAAATTAAAGATAGATGTTTTAGAAATCCACTGTGTAGGAGAACTGTAATGTCTTTATTAGACACCTATTACTAAGCCTACAGTATGGCTATATTTGCATAATAACAGGTGAATAAGAAAATAGATGTATGTTCATAGAGTGTAACACATGCAGATGTGCATGAATTTGTATATATAAAACCAAAGTAGAGTATACATGCAGGTATTTGGTTCCTTATACACAGGAGTTGAGACTGTGGCAAGATGTACAGTCAGTGGATGATGAGAAATCAAGATAGTAACCCAGATTCATTGATTTTCATTATATAATGACTAGTGATCATCCTGTACAATGGATTTGTGGTCGTTTCTAAGGATTTCTACCCAATTAACAGAAAAGTAATAGAGAGTGAAGTATAATTAAAATTTTTGTTTCCTCCTCAAACAGAGGAGGTGTAATTAGAAGGCAGCTGTGCTTCTGTACTAGCAACAGGCTACTTTAGTAGAGCTTAACCCTTTATATTGGTCAGTGTGTCTGAAACACTGCAATATTCAGAGCTGTGACTTTCTGCCTCTCCTAATACAATACAGAGTTTCATAAAAGGGTCAAAATTATTTGGTAGAAAATGCAGATCATGACAGTTGAAAGCAAGTTATTATTTAACTGTCCTGATTTTGAATTTTAATATGCGCTTTCAATATGATCCAAGGCCCATATGAAACAACACCAGGCTTAACATATTTAATTGGATCTGTCATATTAACTTGCTAGTCTTTTCGTTCTAGGTCAGTTTTAGATGCAAGTTTTGGTATTATTATACTAGCTTTGGTTTTCTTTCTTATTTTTTTTCTAGTTTCTGCTACAGTTTCACCTAAGGTCAACATCATCCAGACAATGCTGACAAATCCAATAATAACACGTAAGTAAAGGAAATTAAATGTATCTGGTAGGTATTCAGTTTTAGAGGAAATAGACAGAGGAATTTAATACAAACAGGGAAATGCACTAGTAAAGGTAGTCATGGAGTCATAAGAGGAGAAAGAGGATGGTTAAGAAACAGTATAATGTTGAACTGTTATATCAGATTAAATACGGACAATTAAATACCTGAACATAACTAAGACCATTTATAGGGGTATATATGATGAATAGCAGACTGAGAATAGCAGACTGAGAACGAATAAGAATGAACACATAGTGACTAGTTTCATAACACATAGATGGACAGAAAATAACTAAGGAGGTGGGCAGGGGAAAAATATTCAATGACAAAATGAAGCCTTGGACAAGTTGATTCACCACATTAAGACTGGGAATTTTAAGTCATTTTTTACAGCTAATTTTAAATTCACAGCTTCCAACCCTGCTCACAATGGCCACGTGTGCAGCACATGGGGCAACTTCCACTTCAAGACCTTTGATGGAGACATCTTCTACTTCCCTGGGCTCTGTAATTATGTTTTTGCATCCCATTGCAACACTCCCTATGAGGATTTCAACATCCAGATGAGACGTACGGTAGTAGAAAATACTCCAACAATCAGCCGTATTGCCATGAAACTTGAAGGTGTAGCTGTTGAGCTAACAAAGGATGTTGTCATGATTGATAGCAATGGGTAAGTTTATTCATAACACTTGTTTGGTAAACACAGATATATATTTTTTTTCTAACTGGCCAAGTACTTTCTTGTATTCTGGGGAAAATATATGCGTTCCTCAATAAACCTGACAATTTTACCCACAGAAATAATGAATAAGTTGCTGTTAATTCCACTCATAGTAAATCAATCATTTCTTTAAAGATTAACTCAAAAACAAAATTTGGATGAAAAATCCCAGGAAGTTGGGTCAAAATTCAAATCCACATTTGATGGTGTTGGACCATTTTATTAATTGCTTCTTTTTTCAACACAGCTGAATTATGGTTGAATCTTTATAGATACTGGATCACACAAGCTATTTCTTTTTATCAAACATCTGGATCAGAAAATATTTCGTATTCCTTCTGCCTGTTTCTAGAGTTCAACTGCCATACAGCCAGGCTGGAATTACAATAGAGAGAAGCAGCATTTATGTGAAAGTTGTCAGCAAAATGGGTGTTGTATTTATGTGGAATGAAGATGACAGTATTCTGGTAAGAACAGTTCCTGGAACTGTCTACACCTTCAAAGCCCAAAGAGCATGTCTTTGATTAAGCTAATCCCTACCTGTTTGGGGTTTATTACTGCCTTCTCATCTCATACTGTTGAGCAATTCTCCTTTAATAAAGACATATTTGCCTCTAGGTAGGCCTAAAGAAAATTATGTGGATTTACTTCTCATTGATAGACTTCTGCTTAAAATGGGGTGAAAAACCACATACATTATATCATTAACATATTAGCATCATTACAGATCCTACTTACCTCTTCAAGTATAATTTTGAGCAGAATTTCTCTCTCTTCATCATGGATTTAATTTTCTTTCTGAAGAATGAATAGAGAGAAAAAAGCTAAGAGCTCCTTAGATATTGCAATGAAAACTTATGTCTGTATCAGTAGCTTGGAATCTGTTCTAAATGCAGTCCAAGCAAGCTCTTCATTCTATCCCCCAGGTTTAAATTAGATTGCTAAATAAATTTACATAGCTTTGATGAAAAATGTTTAAGGGCAGCAGATGCAGGTGATTTCAGTGATCTTGAATGTATTTTAGAATGTATATACTAACTTCTATCAATGTCTATCAATTTAGTTGGAACTGCATGAGAAATATGCTAATCAGACCTGTGGGCTTTGTGGAGACTTCAATGGCATTCCAATTTACAATGAGTTCTATTCAAACAGTAAGTCTTATAAACCATAAAAAATGGTTTCTGGTCTCCAACATGTATTTTGCATTCTTTTAGCTCTAACATCATCACCATTCCTCTTTCCTATCATGTTAAAGGATTTAGCCAGAGGTTATGATTCAATCTCTGTTCCAAAATATGCATTACAGAGATCAGATAACATGATTTAATACTTAAAGTGTAAATATAATACTTGTGCTAACAACAGACTGCTTATTTCTTGTATGATATGGTTTTATTTACCTAATCAGCTAACCCCATAAAGATAAGCCAGATTCTCACTAATAACATAAATAAATATAGAAATATATCTAATAAAATGAAAGGTAGTTATATTGTCTAGTCAGTACATTTATTGTTTCATTTCTCTCTTAAAATTAGAAATGCTTCTAATAATAACATATTGATTCTGATTTGAAAAGCCCAGGAAATAGCTTCTGGTTTACAGTTAATGAGCCTATTAGGCACAACGTCACAATCTTGAATATGTAATGCCATTCCACAAGTTACATCCACGTTTGCCTCCTGATATGCATAATCTGTATATGATCTATTCTCTATTATTTTATTCATTCTCAGTTGAGTCTTTTCCTAAACCTCGTATCTCAGCATTTCCCATTGTCCACATCCCTGTTTTAATTATTTTCTCTCTTACCTGCATGGTCTCAATATTATATGAAAATAGTTTCATAGAATCAGAGAATTTTTTATTTTTGTTATTTTTCAGTAAAAATCTTAGTTTGCATCTATACGTAATAGGCTCAGAATTGTTTTCTAATGTTTTTCTTTTTTCCAGGGTGCTGTGCAAGGTATACTGAGACAGTGATGTCAGTGTTTATTTTGGAAGGGATGATGATCAAAGGAGAAAGACTTAAGGCTGGCTGCCTTGGCCAGATTTGAAACAAATTCTTGACAGGAGAAAAAAATAATTAAACAAATAATAATAATAATAAAACCAATAAAAATAATAATAATAATAAAACCCCTCATTATTAAACTTCTTTTGCACAGATATGAAAATGACAGCCTTACAGTTTGGGAATATGCAGAAAATGAATGGGCCAACAGAAAACTGTGAAGACCCCACTACTTCCCTACCAGATAATTGCACAGATACTTTTGTAAGGATCTTTTTGATTAATCATTTATTTTTCTTTCAAATTTATCTGTACCCTTCTACAGCTTCAGAGGGATCAACAGGAAAAGACTTAAGGACAATAGAAAGTAAAGAGGGAAATGAAATTCTATTAAAGAACAATTTACCAGAGTAGCAATGCTAAAAACAATCTGATCCTTTCTATTTTCTGACAGTTTTTTTTTGATTGTGTGTGTTTTGTGTTTTTTTTTTTTGCCTCCCAAGGATGACATATGCCAGAAAACATTGACCAGCTCTTCATTTGCAGAATGTAATGATCTAGTTGATGTTACCGAGTACATTATGGCTTGCCAAGAAGATTTGTGCCGCTCTGAAGAGTCAAAAAATGCTTCATGTATCTGTGACACCTTTGCCGAATACTCCCGACAGTGTGCTCATGCTGGTGGGGAACCTCTGAACTGGAGAACCTCAAAACTGTGCCGTAAGTATCACTGGAGATAGCCTTACTTTATGCTCAACAAATAAAAAGCAATATGTTATCAAATGATGCTAAAGATGCACGGAAAATTACAAGCAATGCAAGACTATTCTCCAGAGGGTTCTGATGTACAAGCTGCAGCAAGAAGACTTCAGAAGAACTAAGGGTTTTAATGCAAAGTGGTTTAAACGCACTTAAATGGATATGCTTACTCAGAGTTGAAGTGCTATTGAATTAACTGAAACAATAAAAGAAGCAAATAAAGGGAAAGAAGAAAGGTCATCTGCTTACTTACATTCCTGTTTTTCTCCTTTTCTCATGGTGGCTACAGCATGTTTTACCCTCATTAATTAACTGACTGAGTCTTCACAGGTGTTTGTCTTTTTCGGCACCTGTTTACCTTTTGTTGCTTAGTAGTTTGCACCACTGTTTGCACTGAATTAAACACAGAGCATTATGGGGTGTAGCTGTTGATACTGTCACCGATGTTTGTTCCAAAATAAAATCCCCTAGTGTACTATTTGCCCTTCCAATGGTATCTTTAAAATCCAAATATAATAAAGCCTTAGGAACTTGAGTCTTACATTTCCCTAGAAATACAGGTATTCTTGAAAAAGATGCCTTCAACAGAAACCTCACTAGCTGTCTGGGGTCATTATCTTGGTGTCCCTGGAAATTCTGTAATTGTGCCCACAGTTCAGCACCAGTTGTCTTTAGACACAGTCATGAAGAGCAAATCTCAACTGTGAAACATGGATCTGGGTAAAAAGCTTTCAAATTTTGAGAGGTGGGGATGGATCTGCAGTTTAGTGTGGTTTTAGCTGAAAAAATGTAAATGAACACACACATATATATATTTTTCATATACAGTAAACAATTTGACTGAAAGAAAAAAATCTCTCTTTCTTTAACATTTCAGCCAAGACGTGTCCTTACAACATGGAGTACCTGGAGTGCAGCTCCCCCTGCACTGATACATGCACCAATCCTGAACGATCTCAGTTTTGTGAAGAGCACTGTATGGACGGCTGTTTCTGCCCCCCAGGCAAGTTCTTTTCTTATAAACTCATGTCTTTGATCTCAAAAACAACAGCCTACATACAGGATTTGGGCAAGTTCCATGGAGCTTAGAGCTCCTATATTTACATTTTTCATAGCTGCAAGTGACAAGCATTTATCATTTATCAACTGAGGAAAGACATCTCAATTGATTGCCAGTACACATGCAATATTTAGAGAGCAGGAAAGGAGAACAGCAAACACATCAAGACTAATCTCAACACACCACCTGTACTATAGTAACTCCCTCTTTCAAAACAGGTGGAATTTAAGAATAAAAAGGTTGAATCCTTCAGTCTGCATAGTTCTACTGTCCTCAGCATAGGCATGACCATTCACAATAGCTGGAGCTCTGTCTCCAAAACATTATTTAGGATTACTAACAAGCAAACAAACAAAAATATTTTCCCCAAACATAGGAAATGTCTCTTCAAATGATTTTTATTTTTTTTTAAAGGAACTGTGTTTGATGACATAAACAATTCTGGCTGCATCTCCCGCCAACAGTGCTCTTGTATTTACAATGGCAAAACCTACACTCCAGGAACTTCTTTTTCAGACCAGTGCCATTCCTGGTAACCCTCCCCCCCTTTTTTTTTTTAACCTTACTATTTCCTCTAATATATTTAATGAGTTTAATGGTTTACTATTTGCAATGACATCATTGGTAATTGATCTGTGTATTTAACTGACCACTACAGTTCCAAAATAACCCTAAAGAACGTTCTTTGTTTTATTTAGCAACAACCTTAAATATCTTTGCACTCGACATCAAAGTGATCAAAGTAAGGATTTACAATGTTTAGATTTCTCACCAGTGAATTAAAGTGCTTCCTCTGTTCATTTTGTTCAAACATTTGGGCTTCTCTAAAGGGAATGAAATTGCAGTAATTTATGTATTTGCAAATATTTATTTTCTCTGCAGAAAACAAGAGATGATAATAACAACCTCAGTTTCACATTTTTTTTTTCCAGTACCTGTTCAGTACCACGCTACCTCAGAAAAAACATATGCTCTGTATCAGGAGTAGATTTGGGGCTACAGTTCTGTTTCTGATGTATTTATAAAACAAAACAGAAAATGTTTTAATTTGGTATTGTGCTTTATGTTAGTTGCAAAAGACAAGCAATTACACATCCAGTACTTGTTGCTATAGAGTTCACCTGTTACTCCCTTTGATGCTTTACATCACATATTCACAATATTTTGGAAAGTCTTAAAAATGGACTTACTGTGTATTTAATCTATAGATTGAAGGAAAAATAGTACTAAAATAGCTGAACCTAATGTCATTTAATTCCTTTCACTCTGACTGCTATTACTGATTTCAGCTAATTTTATCCTTTCTGCTCCAGTACATGTAACGGAGGCCAATGGAGTTGCACAGACATGTCATGCCCAGGAATATGTTCAGTGGAGGGAGGCTCACACATTTCCACATACGATCAAAAACAGTATGATGTCCATGGAGACTGCACATATGTCCTTTCTAAGGTGGGAATCAGATAGTACTTGATGATAAAGCCTTATACATTTGCAGAAAGTGATTTCAATCAACACTTTTGAAACTTACCTCTTTTGGCGTATATACATCGAATTTCTTTCACTTAACCAGATGCTTACAGGAACATATGCTTCCATTCAAATGACTTTATTATTAGTTAACTATTACGATGTCATGCAACTGTATATGGTGGTTTCCAGAGAGTTTCCAATTCTGTGATATAACAGTTGCTGAAGAGCACTGGTTTTTAAGTTATTGGTTAATCTACATTCTTCAGTGTGATTAATCCAGCTCTCTTACTGGGTTGCATAATTTTATCCTGTTACTGTATTTTATGGCACTGGGCCATATTGTATGCCAAGTCTGAAAAATTACACTAACAGTTCAGAGAAATAAAAGGAAAATAATCTTTAATAAATAAGACTATAATTTCTCATTCATTTCTAGGGAGTTCAAATACAGAAAAACCAGTTCAAGTCAACTGATACATTTCATTTGGGTTTTGAACTGTTCTAAAGATGAATCAAAAGAAATAGAGAAATTGAAAGTTAATTATAAACAAAACATTTCATTACAGCAACGTGCAAGTGAAATGGTTTGATCTTTGGGGGCTTCTTGTGCTTCTTTGATTTCTTTTTTTTCCCATTTGCACAATTAAGTTCAAAAAATCTTTATTGATGTTTTCCTGAAAAATGTTTTATCTGAAATTTTTGTCTAGCTTGATACCATCTCCAGAAGGATAAGAGATACAGTGTAATTTAATCAAACATTAGCATTAAGCATGAATAAAAACTCTGAATATGGATACTATCAATTAAATGCAGAAACAGATGCAAATTCTCTTTTGGTTCCTAAACATTACAAAAGGCAAAACTGAATCTTAGGCCAAAGAAGGCTTAGTTTTCAGGATAATACAAAAACATAAATATTTTTTTCAGAGTTGAGAGAGACTTTGACAGGGAAAGCTTCTGTATTTAGCCTTTCCTTAAATAACAGTTGACTTCTTTTTCTCAGCACTGTGAAGATGAAACATTCACCATCCTGGCAGAACTACGCAAGTGTGGCCTGACAGACACTGAAACATGCTTAAAGACAGTGGCCCTCAGCATGAATAAAGGACAAAATGTAAGAATGAAAAATAAGCATGAGAAACAACTCTTAAAAATGTAAACAGCAAAGAAGCTGGGTCTTAGTCAGGGAACTGCATTTCCCTCTCAACACATGGGATAAGTACATGTTACTTTTTAATTAAGTGAAAATAAATTTATTTTATTGTCAAAAAGAAATAAGTAGTAAATCTGTCTTTCTGGAAGGTCATTAAGAAAAAGCAGGAAAAAACACACTTTTCTCTGCCAATCAGATGAAAAAACATGACCTTGTAGTTTACAAACTACAAGTAAAACAGTAAGGGGTGTACATGTAATTCATCACAAAGTTGTGTTCATAGAAATCAAATGATGTAATTCACTAATGAGTTGAGAAAGACTTTTTAAAAGCAATTCTATTTTGGCAGGGAAGATAGTAAAGTGTTCAAAGTAGAACAGGAGGTGAAATCATAAAAAGTGATTAAAATTTTTTAATTAAAATTTCTTTAATTAATATCACTGGAGTCATAATTATTATTATCTTTTGGACTATAGTAATCCTTCACCTGGCTTGTTCTTATTCCTCTTCCTTAACAGCTCATTGTGGTCAAACCTGATGGTGGTGTGTTTGTGAACTTGATCTACACCCAGCTGCCCATCTCAGCAGGTATTTTTTTTTCCTCTAACAGCCTATGAGTGGTAGGCTCAGAACTTGAACTCTATACCTGCTTGTTGTCTTAAACAACAGAAGATGAAAGGACTGGGAGTTGTTCAGAACCTGCATGCTCTAACCTTGATTCTCTTTGGGATATTTTCTGAGTTGTGCAAGTGCTTTTAAAGTAGAGGTGTGAAGTTCAGTGTCAGAAATAAATGTGAGACAGTACAAGCATAGGTGAGAGTTGAAATAGAAGTAAACAATTTTTACACTCTACTGATTTTAGTCTCTGTAAAGTTTACTTCATTCTCACTGCCCAAAACAGAACATGAAAGACAGCTGATTACTTTATGTTGGTTTTTTGTTTGTTTATTTTAACATAATACTGTACTCCCACAACTCAGATACAAATTTGATTTTTGACGTCTCAAAAACTAATGATTCTACCTTATACCTCTGACTTCCAGATCCTGCTTATTTTCCCTGTCCAGTGGAGTGAGGGCCTGAAGTATGCTTAGAAACAAAAACAGATTATTTTTGTGTGTGTTTGTTCCATTTTCTTTTTGTGTGTTTTTTTGTTTATTTGTTTGGTAATGCCATGCCATACAGCTTTTCCTTCTTATTCTCTCAAGAGTAATCCCCAAATGCTTAATATTGAGACAGTGAATAAAGTTAACAATTTGGTAGCTACAAGCAAATTCTTAACTGTACATTTTGATTTATATCCCTGAATAATTTTTGAAAAGGTTTTCTTTATTTTACCTAGGAATTTGCAACAATTGCAATACAAATTCAATAAGAATTGTGTAATCATGCACTGGATTAGCCTTTCTGGCTAAAATTAGCATTTTCTGGATTAACCTAATCCATATCCTAACCTAATCCAATCTGTATGAACCTAATCCAGAAAACGAGCATTCTGTTTTTCTTTTATAGCCAATGTCACCATCTTCAGACCTTCATCATTCTTCATCATCATTCAGACAAATTTTGGTCTCCAGGTTGAAATCCAAATCACACCCATCATGCAAGTGTTCATTAGAATTGATCATCAGTTCAAAGACCAAACCTGTGGTAAGTGAATGACATTTAAGAATGAAATTTAAGAACATCTTGCTTAATGTCTTTTGTCTAGTACAGACAGTATAAACTTTTCACTGTTTTTCAACAGGTCTCTGTGGAAATTTCAATAATGTCCAAACTGATGACTTCAAGGCCATGAGTGGAGTAGTTGAAGGAACAGCAGCAGCATTTGCTAATACATGGAAAACTCAGGCTTCATGCCCTAATATCCAGAGCAGTTTTGAAAACCCTTGTGCACTCAGCGTTGATAATGGTAAATACTTCTTAATATTCTTTTCTCTTTTTTTTTCATTCTAGATTTTTTTCTAGATTATTTTTCCTCATCACTAAGGAAAACACATCTGTTAGAAAGAACATAAGAGAACGAAGACTTGTATATTTGTTGAAAATCAGAATATTCACAGTGAAAACAAAAGGGATAGGTAATGAGGTAAAGGAATAGTCCTGGAAACATAAGTGAAAGAAACTGTAATCACTGAAAACAGAATATCTAAGCTGACAACTTGGTGTCAGAGGAGTGGATCACAGAAGCATCTTTGGAAATTGCTTAACTCAAGTTCTTCAACAGCTCCATTACACCTTTGGTTTTAGTAACTTTAGTCCACAAGCTGAGTGGAAAAAAAAAAATAGGAGAGTTTTGATGTAACTTCAGAACTGTTTTCACAAACCTGGGCAATGGGTTTTTGTGAGTGATGAAATGCAAAGAGTAATGAGCACTTGCACTGTTTGTTCTTTTCACAGAAAAATATGCTCAGCATTGGTGTGGACTACTAACTGACAGTGAAGGACCTTTTGCTGATTGTCATTATGCAGTGAATCCTTCTACTTACCACACGGTAGTTTGTTAGGCTGTTTACCTCCTTAGAAACTACAGAAGTAGGATCATTACAACTAGCTACCAGGAAGACACTGTCACAGACATGTCTCTCATGGTCTTATGCAATGCCTGCATTTTCGTTTCTGCACTGCTCTTCTTCATTTCAATATGTGTATCTGTTTTATGTTGTAACATTACCTTATTTCAATTGTCAGTCTTGGCTTTGTCACCCTGACCTGCTTGTAAACGCAAAGGCAGCTATTTATGCCTGGATGGACATACACATATAGTAGGAAATTTATATAAAGGCATATCAAATGCTTATTTGAATATTACAGTGAATTAGCTCACCAATCTTATATCTCAATAACTACTTGGCACTGAAAGCCCAGTGCCTAATTACCACCATTCTGTTGTCAGTGTACTGCCAATCCTTCTTCTCACTATGAATTGAGATACTGATGCTGATGAAATGATGTGTCTAGACTGCATAATATGAATATTTATATATATATATATTTGTATGATATTGTGCTGAATATTCATAAATATGGGTTCAGATGAAGCTGTTAAATGTGTAACAGACTTTAAAACTACTATTTCACAATAATAACTTTAAACATCAGTTGTATTTCCATTAGCTTCATTCTCTCCAGCCAGGAAACTTAGATAATGATTGGAAAGTAACTGGATGTTAGTGTGACTGAGCATATCTGAGGAAGGATTTGTGCATGAAAACAGATAGGTAACTTTTTTTCTTTTAGATTGACAGTCATGCAAATGAGACTTTATTTTTCTGTTCGTTCCTAGAACTGCATGTTTGACACATGCAACTGTCAAAACAGTGAGGATTGTCTGTGTGCAGCCCTCTCTTCCTATGTGAGAGCTTGTGCTGCAAGAGGAATCCAGATAAGTGGATGGAGGACTGATGTCTGTTGTAAGTACTTAACACTATTCCCTTTCTTAAGAGCACCTATCAATAAAAACTGTTGATCAAAGATCGTTTTATTGTGATTTCTAGGGAAACATGGTAAGTGTGGAGGAAGGGATTTTGTTAAATGCACTCCTGTAAGTAATTCTCTGCTGTTACCTTAGAATCAATCCATTACTGGCAAGAGTAAGTATAAATAGATGGGAGACAGCTCGACTAGGAAACAGATTGTTGTCAATGATGTGCCTTCACCAGTTTCTGCACAACTTTGAATCTAACTATAGCTTTACGTATCACAACTTGTTGTAGAGATAAATATGACATATTGGAATAACAGCATTAGTAATACTAACCAGAAGACTGAAAAATTAAAGATGTCTTGAAGCTAGGTTCCACTGATCCAGTAGGTCTGTTTTCAGCATACCAGAAGACATTCAGGGAGACATCTTGGCTCATACATCAGAAGTTTAAAAGTCTCAGCAATGAACAGAAATGCCAAATGGAGGTGTCTTTCCAAACTTCACTTGAAAAAAATATTTTCTTTATTGCATACATCACTTGGCTTACTCCACACGTACAGTAGCTTTTCAGGTCTAACTCTGGAAGTGTTCAAAAATACATTTATATGAAAGATGCAACATAGGCAGAGGTGTACAGTATTGTTTACCTGTTATTTTTTCTGCCTACTCTTTGTTTCTTCCCACCAAAAATTACCATCTGGAATTAACGAACCTTTTTTTTTTTTTTCCTAACTCTCTCAAGCAAAATACACCACCTCATGTCCCAAATCCCTAAGTTACAGTTATAACATTGATTCCTGTCAACCCACTTGTCGCTCTCTGAGTGAGCCTGATGTCACATGCAACATTAAGTTTGTCCCACTTGATGGCTGCACCTGCATAAATGGAACCTACATGGATGAAAGTGGCAAATGTGTGCCTTCTAATGAATGCCCCTGTTACTACAGAGGATCTCCCATACCACTTGGAGAAGCTGTTCATGACAATGGGCTTGTATGGTAAGGGGAGCTTTTGCAAAGCACTCAAGCAATAGTATATGTATTTTCTCATTAAAATATGCTGCATTTAAATTGGCCTCACTCTGCCTGAGATTCAATATAGTGCTCTCATAAACTTTTTTTTTCAACTTTTAAGAATGCAGCATACATCCAGATTGATAAAGCAATTGTATTTACATATATTTTTTATTTAATTCCACGATTTGTCAGGCATAAAATATATGATAGAACCAGCAATGGGAGATCTAATGAGAAAGTAAGCAACAAGCAGAGACATACACCCATTTTAAGCTATGATTTTTCCTTTTAAGCAGTAATGGATATCATATGAAAGCACCATTGGTAGTGGTGTTGAGAGAAATTCTTTCCGAGGATTGCAAAATAGCATTCAGGAATTCAATGTATTCCATAGAAAGTATGGAAAAGATAGAAGTAGCTCTCTGTCTCAATACATGGTTGAGCAGGAAAAAAAAAAAAAATGTTTTTCCCTTTCTTACAGCACTTGCACACAGGGAAGACTGGATTGCATTGGAACACCTGATCCAATTCCAGGTAAAAAATAAAAATAAAATATCTTCCACTTGTCTTTTTTCTGTGCCAGGTTTTGGACAGAAACAATCAATACAATTGATACTTCTTAATGGATTTTTAAATAATAGAAGTCTTTCTTTTATAGTTATAGTGCAGCAGTTATTGTAAAAGGCAGAAGTGAACCTAGATTCGTGGTAAAACCTGTTGTTCTAAAAGATTTTTTTTCTGAAATACCATGGGAAATTCTGAGAATTCAGTGCTCTGAAGTGAATTTATAATTGGATTCCTATTTAACAGATTGAATAGGGACAGCAGTCCCTACTAACTGAAATGTGAAAATTCCAAGAATTTCTAGATTTTATTTTATTTTATTTTATTTTATTTTATTTTATTTTATTTTATTTTATTTTATTTTTTTTTTTTTTTTTTTTTTTTTTTTTTTTACAGCTACTGCTGTGGGTTAAACACTATGCCATTTCTTATTGCTCTTATTTTTTCCTTCCTCTAGTTTGTAAATCTCCCATGGTCTACTTTGACTGCACAAACACCACTGCAGGAACAACTGGTGCAGAATGTCAAAAAAGTTGCCAGACTCTGGATATGAAGTGTGTAAGTATGTCATAGCAGGATGAAATGGCACTTCCAGGTTTTGTCCCTGGCCTTGGTCCTACAACCATTGCTGATCTAACTCTTCTACTGTGAATTTATAACACAGATACTTTGTTCTTATAGTAAAATCCCTGAAACTTGTTATGAAGAATTAACAATAGGACCCTAAGACAAAAATGTAATAAAGTAACATCCAATTTAAATTTTAAGATCAGTGTCAAACTTTCTTCAGCTACTGCATATAACAGTAGTTAGTAGTAAAAATATCAAGGGCTTTGCCACATGTTTCTTCCACTCATTCTTTCCCATACCATGATGCAATTGTGAATTTTTTGCACACCTAATTACATATAATTATCACTCCATTGAGGTACATGATAGCCATATTACATTTCACAAATTACCCCGAATCTGATAAATCAGTTTTCAGTATAGCTCACCCAAACAAACAAACGAAATTTACTTGTTTTCTTTCTGAAGCTCCATTCTTTCAATCACAGTTCACCCATTACAAAGTGTAAGTCTTCTTCAGCAAAAAAGAGCAAGACTTAAGATTGAATATGTTTCAAATTTCACACACACTCCAACACAGCAATAAATAGAATAGTATTGAATATATAGAATAGAATAGAGTAGAATAAATAAAACATTTAACAGATTTATAATCTATTAAATCAATGGCTAATAACTTCCTCTTTGTTCTAGAGGCCTATTAGTACTTCATTATCCTCTCTTATTTCAGCTGGGCAGAAATAAGACAAAGACATTGTATAATAATTTAATCTTCTTTTGTCTATTGTAATTATTTCGTTCTGAAATTATATCTTCCTCCTGACTTTTCCAGTATAGCACACGGTGTATATCTGGCTGTGTGTGCCCAGCTGGGCTTGTGTTAGATGGGAAGGGTGGTTGTATTCCTGAAGAGGAATGTCCATGTATTCACAACGAAGCCATGTATCAGCCTGGGGAAAAGATCAATGTTGACTGTAATACCTGGTAAGTATTTCCTGGGAAGTTGCATTCCTGGTTCCATCATTTGTCTTTTAAAAGATCTTAAGTAGTTCAGCAGTGAGGAAAGATTTGGACTATGCATTTCATCAACTGATGGATCATTTAATTTTGGATTCAGTAGTATGAGCAAATTTTCTTCTGTTGTAGGCAGATGTCCAAAACACAGAATGGAAGGAAAGCTTTGGGACTGCAGTGTCATTAAGTATTATCCTATTCTGCAGATCGTGCGTTCAGACTAGCAGACCAGAACTTTGCTTTAATTCTTCACATGAGAAATGTAAATGACTATTTTACCTGCAGAATCAATATAACATTTACCAGGGGTCAGGTGACAAACAAATACCAAGTTTTAAGGACATGTCTACACAGAACAGTGAGTTATTTTACTATTAAAATGTTTAATTCTCATTCCTAGTGTGTGCAAGGATAGGATGTGGGAATGCACCGAAGATCAATGTCTGGGTACTTGTGCTGTTTATGGAGATGGGCATTATATTACCTTTGATGACAAAAGATTCAGCTTCAATGGAAACTGTGAATATACACTAGTCCAGGTACTGATAATTGCAATAACAAACTGTAATGTAGTCTTGATCTTGTCTACAGCAATGATATATTTCTAAATTTTATTCTCTACCCAGGACCACTGTGGGAAAAGTGGCACAGTCAATGGGACCTTCCGGGTTGTAACTGAAAATATTCCTTGTGGCAACACTGGGACAACTTGCTCAAAATCTATCAAAGTTTTCCTAGAGGTAAGTAGGATCTGCATACAGACCAGTTTTGTTCTGTATCTGTGTAAGACTTAGGAGAAATCAAGTAGCCATCGCTGCAAAGAAGTTGGAGAAGATGTTTTAAAAAGCAAGTCAACTTGTAAATTAAGCTTAAATCAAAATCAGGTGAAATATTTGGTAGAACTTCCTAGTTTTCTGTCATTTCCACTTCCCATCCTTACAAAGCTATCTTATACTACCCTTGGACAAACTACCTCTCTACAGGAAAACTGTCTTTAGCAGAAATTTGGTCTATCATGTCAGAAGATTCTTTTATTCTGTGCAATATATTTCACCCATGACTACCAAGAAACCCTTTTTCAATATACACCATTTAAAATACTTTTTTACCACCGTTTATGAAACCTGAGATTTGAACCATATAATTTAGATTTATTGCATTTGTATTATTAATTTTCATTATTCAAACTGCTTTCAGTACTCTTAAAAGTGGGAAAACATAATAGCACAGTTGTAGCTATTGGATTCATTTCTAATCACCTTTTTCTCTTGTTTCAGAGCTACGAACTGATACTTGGTGAGGAGCATGTCAGTGTGGTAAAGAGAGGACAAGATGGTGAGGTGCCATACACAGTCCGCTATATGGGTATGTACTTGGTAATTGAGACCACCAGCGGACTGATTCTCATGTGGGACAAGAAAACCAGCATCTTCATCAAGCTCAGCCCTGATTTTAAGGTGCGGAACTAGCAATTCAATGGCAGTTTAAGTGTAGATTTGTACTGGATGTGAATTTTGGTGAGACCTAACCAAGATCGCAAGAACAGGTGATGTCTCTCACATTCCTACAGGACATCATATGTTGTTTTACATTCCTCTGGTATCTTAGGAACCCATTGCAGCATCCTGCTGCTGTTTGGATCTACTAAGACAGTGTTTAGTGCCTATTTGGCCTGATAGAACTTGAGCTGGCAAACTGCTTTTGCAGACTTGACTTCACTAAAATTACCCAGTGAACCTCAGTAAAGATTATCAGACCTCATTAAAATTACATAGCTACATGTATAGAAATCAACTGAGTAGTCCTGATCTTGGAAGTAATCCATTGTTTTCCGTACACATTGATACACAAATCAAATTACTGTAGTTCAAGAACAAGGAAGTAAAATATTATAAGTGAAAGTCTCTTGTAAAACTCTATCATGGATTTTTCAAGCATGTATCTGAACTGGTGATAACGAAAATGTATTCCTGTTGTCATGCTCTCTCTTATAGCTTATGGTATGTAAGAACTAAAAGCTGTCATAGATTAGGAATTTGCTATCTGACTGAATACCACAGTGACATTTCAATTATGTGTACACAAATCTAAGTGCAATTTAGAACTAGGTACAAAAGTTCATTTTAATACCACAGGTTCTTTTGCTGCCTAGCCCACTGGCACGTTATAGGAACAGTAGCAATATGGAAAGTATGAACTTTAGATTCATAGAGAAATCATAGCATCCATTGTAACCTATCACCATGTTACATATCCATAAATTTGGAATGAGAGCTACTTCTGGATGTGCAAGGAAAATGTCATTTCTTTTTCTACCTGTCTGCCGTCATAACAGTACAAACTCAATGAGTAGGTTACATGCTGGACTGGTAGTATTTATGATAGCTCTGTAAGACTGTCTTTTATACATACATTTATTGGATAAAACAAGGCACAAATGAAAAGTGTAGACATCTGTGTCATCAGTTGAGTCCTCATTTCCTTGCTAGAGATGTACATCAAAGATGGTAGAAGAAAATGACCAAGCCAGTATTGTTCAGATTTAAAAGATGAAAACTCATTAGTAGTTTCTAGCCTTAGTGATCATGTTCTATTGCTGAGGAAACAGATGGCTGTTTTTCCAAAATATCTAAACCTGTATCTTCAAAGGATGAGTAGGTTCAGGAAAGTTAGAATAGAACAGCACCACTCTAAGAGCTGAATTTCATGTATTCTTTCAGTTTCAGATTTTGCTTCAAGTTTTCTCACAACCATCATTATTTTATTTCCGTTTGCAGGGCCAGATCTGTGGCCTGTGTGGAAATTATGATGGCAACGGCATCAATGACTTTACTACAAGGAGTCTATCTGTCGTAGAGAATGTCCTAGAGTTTGGAAACAGCTGGAAAGTATCTTCTACATGTCCTGATGCTAACATCATAAAGGACCCATGTTCTACCAACCCCTATCGAAAGTCCTGGTCGGAAAAGCAGTGTAGCCTCATCAATAGCAATGTCTTTGCTGCCTGTCACTCTCAGGTATTACCAGGGCAAGAGTTTACTCTGTGAAGACTAAGTCTGTGCATTACTGAAGTTAAAAAGAAGGCTATCCTCAAAAATTCTGCCAAACGTACCTCATTCATTAGCCAGTATATTTCATTTCAAATTGTGTCAGGAAAACTTCAGTCTGAATCTTGCTCAATGGGACAGATTTATAGCCCCTACTTGTAAAAAGTAATAGGCCATTGAGTTCATAGGAAATAATACTGACTTGGAAAAGAATATTTATTCTTTCAGTTATTGGGAAAGAAGAATTTCAGAATTACTATGGATTTCCTGTGGTGTGACTTGAACAGAAGTCATGTACCATGTACAGAACACAAGCTCAATGCAATAATAACATTTTGGGGTAATATTAAAGCATCGGAGTGGCTGGAAAGCTGTGTAGTGGAAAAGAATCTGGGGGTGTTGGTCGATGCTTGCCTGAACATGAGCCAGCAGTGTGCCCAGGTGGCCAAGAAGGCCAACGGCATCCTGACTTGTATCAGGAATAGTGTACCCAGCAGGACCAGGTGATCGTCCCCCTATACTCAACTCTGGTGAGTTTGCACCTCGAGTATTGTGTTCAGTTTTGGGCCCCTCAGTACAAGTATGACATCGAGGCCCTGGAGCATGTCCAGAGAAGGGCTACAAATCTGGTGAAGGGCCTGGAACACAAGTCTTGTGGGGAGTGGCTGAGGGAACTGGGGTTGTTTAGTCTGGAGAAGAGGAGGCTCAGGGGAGACCTTATTGTTCTCTGCAACTACCTGAAAGGAAGGTGCGGGGAGCTGGGGTTTGGTCTCTTCTTGCAGGTAACTAGTGATAGAACTGGAGGGAATGGCCTCAAGTTGCATCAGGGGAGGTTCAGATTGGAAATTAGGAGAAATTTCTTCTCAGAAAGAGTGATCAGGCTTATTGGAATGGGTTGTCCAGGGAGGTGGTGGAGTCACCATCCCTGGGGTTGTTTAAGAAAAGGTTGGACATGGTATTTAAGGACGTGGTTTAGTGGGTGATATTGGTGGTAGGGGGACAGTTGGACCAGATGATCTTGGAAGTCTTTTCCAACCTTAATGTTCTATGATTCTGTGATTCTATGATCAGCATAGCCTTAGCTGACAATTAGTACTTACCAACAATGCAGAATAACTCTGTGCTCTTCGTATTACCTTATTTTTTTCCACTGTTAGAGACCATTTTCAAGGGGGGCTGCCTAATACTGCTTCGGAACATGAATCTAATCATTCATTGGAACACAAGTCTAGATGTCTAAAACTGTGTCAATAGATGATTTGGATATATTATTTGGCATTACCTCTGGTATTTAACAGTGTATATAAACATAAAAAGAAATTACTGATGTAGGTCTTCCTTCTGAGATGCTACAGTTTTATGAAAACTAGTCTAGCAAAACTAAGAAAGAATTTAGAAGACAGGATGTATAATATAACACTTCTATTTTATAACAGGTTGAACCAGCAAAATATTACCAGGCATGTGTGACAGATGCTTGTGCCTGTGACTCTGGAGGAGACTGTGATTGCTTCTGTACAGCAGTAGCTGCCTATGCTCAAGCATGTAGTGAAGTTGGTGTCTGCATAGCCTGGAGAACCCCATCAATCTGTCGTGAGTTTTATCTTATATACACTGTTTCTGAGAGTGTAAATACACAGTCATGCCTTGCTTATATGCTTGAATACACGCTCTGGGTATCTCATGTACATGCCTTATAATCTTACTGTGTAGACTTTTCACATTGTTTCAATGCTCACACACTTTTGCCAATTAGTGGTTTTCAAGTCTGTTTTCAAGACTGCTCAAGCAGCATATCAGGGATCCGATGAATAGACATCAATCAAAAGAGGTTATTCTTATCTGAACACATACAAATTTCTGTTTCTCCTTAGCACTGTTCTGTGATTACTACAATCAACAAGGGGAATGTGAATGGCACTATAAGCCTTGTGGAGCTTCCTGTATGAAGACCTGTAGGAACCCAAGTGGAAAATGCCTCCATAACTTGCCAGGTTTAGAAGGTAAAAAGAACTGCAAGTACCCTTAAGTGGGTGTATTTGATTATATTTTTTAATTGTCTTTAATGGAGTCTATTTTCTCTGTCAGCTGCTTTTCCACCATTTAATTCTCTTCAACAACATTTCATTCACATGAAGGAAGACAAAGCCTGGAAAATGGAGCTAAAAACATCTCTGAGGCTGTCCTTATGGGCTCTGCTAATATTAGTTCTCTGCATTACTTTCTAGGATTATTGGAAAAAATAGCAAAAATTGTGACTATTAAAAACAAGACCTGCAAACATGTTCTGAACAAATAAAACTTTTCCTGACTGTATCTCATTTGCATGTTTTTTGACTTATATATGCCCTTTCCCTGCTTCAGGCTGCTATCCCAACTGCCCACCAGACAAGCCATATTTTCATGAGGATCAGATGAAGTGCGTCAGTCTCTGTGACTGTTATGATAATGAAGATGGGAAGATATATAGACGTGATGAATGTCACTTATGGTAAGGCTTAACATACCAGCCTAATTGTGCACAAAGAAAAACGAACAAACCAGTAATGGAAAATTGCACGTTTCTGTTTCATGACAGGAGTCATGAAAGTTTTATGATGCCTGTGTAAAAATAAGGCCTGGAACAAGCAGTTATTAATTAGCTGGAATTTAGGCAACACGCCCACTTGAATTTGAGTAACTGAATCAACCAAGTTCTCATTCACAATTGTTCAATCCTTGATACTTGATCCTAGTATCTGGCAGAAAGATGACAGTAATAAAACCAGGTCATAATAAAAAAGATGTGGTTTTTTTCTATTTTTTATTTCAGTGAATGCACATCAGAAGGTTTACAGTGCAAGTTTGATGATAAAGGTAAGACATCTAGTAAGTACTAATAAGAAAATTAAGTGCTAGATATTATCTTTTCATAGATGACTGACAAAAACCTTCTGAATTACAGCATGTAACTGCATTTATGAAGGGAACACATATAAATATAATGAACTCATATACAACACCACAGATGGAACTGGATGGTGTTTCAGTGCAACATGTGATGTCAATGGAACAATAAACAGAAGTATCTTTAGATGTGGCATCTCAACAACAACCCCATTTACATTTTCTACAAGTCAGCCCACAACTACTACTTCAGGTATGCATCAACACTCTTTAAAATAACTGAAAAATCTCTGGAAGGGATTAAAACTTGCCTGAAAGGCAGAGCCTTGTCATCAGTTAATGGCACACACTTTTACTTGAAACTATTGACTTCTGCTGGAAGAATTTCCAATTCAACCATTTCAGCTGGCCAGCATCAGATGCTTTTTAGACCATAATCAAGGATGTAGAAATGTATAGCATTTCTTACAAAGTCAGTCTCCACTGTTTCACCATGTTTTTTCCAGTGGAAAAACAACAGAGCTTATTAGCTATTGCACTCTGGAGAATCTCCTCACTTCCCTGCAAATAAAAAAAAAAATTCTAAACCGAAGTCTGAACACACAAAAGACAGTGAGAACCATTTTAAAAATTACTGACCATATTAGCACAAAATGAAGATAAGAAATTTGGTTTCAATGTATACTCAAATTCTTTAAAACCATTCTTTGAAACCACCCTAATTGTTAATCTTTAACGATTATCGTATTCCTGCAATGCGCTTCTACATTATTCCTGTAGTTAACTCATTGTACTGGCCATCTAATTCTGAAACATTGAGAAATATTTCAAGTAAATTATACAATACTACAACAAGAACTGTACAATTAAATATAAGTTTTCTATTAAGCAGATGTAACGTTGGTGTGGAGAAAGTGGTACATATTCCATATGCTTATTTTCATAATGTTAAGAATATGAGAATAAATTTTATTAAAATAGGAAGAAACTATGTATATATTTTCTCATAAATATTTAATATGTTTATTACATAAGCTGTATAAACTAATATAAACTATTATATGACCCTAAACTATCAGTTTATATTAGCAGTTCACAAATATGTGACATGTTATAATACTAAAATAAGTAGAAAAATCATTAACCTGTAAAAATATTTTACATTATGCGTGGTTATGTAGCTAGGCATAAATAACTAGAGATAATAGTAAGAAAAATAAAAAATCCTCTTAATTCTATTGTAACAGACATGAGATCCCGTTTTCTTATCTATCAACATTCCACATAACCCGTGTTACATTAACTATATTTAAATACAATTTTAAAATGTCAGATTAAATACAGCTAGAAAAAAAATACAGAGATGAGATGGAAACCTACCTTAGAAATAAAACTCAAAACTGTCAAAGAAAGTTTATTAAAATTAAAATATTATATGAACATATATACTATTATGCAAAACATTAAAATATATGAAAATAAATAATTAATTACTGTCACTTTAGTAACAGAAAACAAGACTTACATTTCTTCTTTTTAATTACAGAAATCACAACCACAACACCAGTGACAACTGTATGTGTGAAGAATGTATGTGAATGGTCAGAATGGTATGATAGCACACAGCCTAAAACCGGAGAGGACAGTGGAGACTATGAAAATTACGAAAATCTAAAAAACAATGGATACAGTGTTTGTAAAAACCCAAGTGGAGTTCAATGCAGAGCAGAAGAACACCCAGATAAAGAACTAAAATATCTTGATCAAATAGTAGAATGCAGTCAAACCAGAGGATTGATATGCAATAACAAAGACCAAAAATCTAAGCAATGCTATAACTACAATATCAGAATACTATGCTGTAGTTATAAACCATGTTCAGAAATACAAACAACTACTGCTATAGAAACACCATTTACAATACAAACAAAAACACAACCAACAACTACACAAAAAACAGGACCTCAAAAATCGGACATAACAACATTAACAACGAAAGTCACAAATATATCAGAAAGCACAACCACACCAAAAGAACCAACCACAACTAGCAGTAGAGCAACCACCATCAAGACATATCCCTCTGTCACAACAAGCACAACCACTATCATCAACACACCAACACAGCCCATCACACCCAACAGCAGTGCCAGCACCATCAAGACCTCCGTCCCTCTGACAGAAGGCACGAGCACCACCATCACCACACCTACCAGCAGTGCCATCACCATAAAGACCTCTCCCCCTGAAACAAAAGGCAGCACCACCATCACACCCACCCCTTCCTCTACACTACCCGAGCCGACAACGCCAACCAGTGCTGGCACCACGGTTGTGATCAAGACCAGTGTCCCTCCGACACCGGGCACGACCATCCTCAGCACATCCACAGCGCCCACCTCACCCACCAGCAGTAAAAGCAGACCCACGACCACTGCAGAAATGACCACAACGTCCTCCACAACGTCCATTCCGGTCGAAACGTCCACTGCGGCGACACCTACTCCAGCATCTCCCACTACCGCCTCTACGCTTCCCCAGTCAACGCTGACGACCACCACCAGCACCACGGTAATCAGCACGACCCCCACCTCCCTGGCACAGAGCACAACCACATTCACAGCCCCAAGCAGTGCCAGCAGCGCCAAGACCTCCACCCCCGTGACAGTGCCCACAACCACCATCATTTCCACACCAACAGAGCCCATCACACCCAACAGCAGTGCCAGCACCATCAAGACCTCTCCCCCTGGGACAGAGCCCACAACCACCATCATTTCCACACCAACGGAGCCCATCACACCCAACAGCAGTGCCAGCACCATCAAGACCTCTCCCCCTGAAACAAAAGGCACCACCACCATCACACCAACAGCGTCCACCTCACCCACCAGTACCGCCAGCACCTCCACCACCACTGGTGGGTGCTATGAGCGCTGTGCCTGGACTCAGTGGTTTGACGTGGACTCCCCAGGACAAGGTAGTGACGATGGAGACATAGAGACGTTTGCAAGCATCAGAGCCGCTGGATTTGAAGTGTGCATCAACCCACGGGACATCAACTGCCGTGCTGAAAACTACCCCAACAGGAGCCTGGAGAGCCTGGGCCAGGTACTGGAGTGCAGCGTCGAAAAAGGCCTTGTGTGCAGAAACAAGGATCAGATCAGCAAGTACCCCATGTGCTTCAACTACCAGGTCAGTATGCTGTGCTGTGACCGCAAACACTGTACGACAACACCAAGCACCACGCCAAGCTCTACAGCTAAGCCCACTCCCACAGAAACCTCCACTGAGACAAACCCAGACTCCCGCACCACCCACCCCTTCCTCTACACTACCCGAGCCGACAACGCCAACCAGTGCTGGCACCACGGTTGTGATCAAGACCAGTGTCCCTCCGACACCGGGCACGACCATCCTCAGCACATCCACAGCGCCCACCTCACCCACCAGCAGTAAAAGCAGACCCACGACCACTGCAGAAATGACCACAACGTCCTCCACAACGTCCATTCCGGTCGAAACGTCCACTGCGGCGACACCTACTCCAGCATCTCCCACTACCGCCTCTACGCTTCCCCAGTCAACGCTGACGACCACCACCAGCACCACGGTAATCAGCACGACCCCCACCTCCCTGGCACAGAGCACAACCACATTCACAGCCCCAAGCAGTGCCAGCAGCGCCAAGACCTCCACCCCCGTGACAGTGCCCACAACCACCATCATTTCCACACCAACAGAGCCCATCACACCCAACAGCAGTGCCAGCACCATCAAGACCTCTCCCCCTGGGACAGAGCCCACAACCACCATCATTTCCACACCAACGGAGCCCATCACACCCAACAGCAGTGCCAGCACCATCAAGACCTCTCCCCCTGAAACAAAAGGCACCACCACCATCACACCAACAGCGTCCACCTCACCCACCAGTACCGCCAGCACCTCCACCACCACTGGTGGGTGCTATGAGCGCTGTGCCTGGACTCAGTGGTTTGACGTGGACTCCCCAGGACAAGGTAGTGACGATGGAGACATAGAGACGTTTGCAAGCATCAGAGCCGCTGGATTTGAAGTGTGCATCAACCCACGGGACATCAACTGCCGTGCTGAAAACTACCCCAACAGGAGCCTGGAGAGCCTGGGCCAGGTACTGGAGTGCAGCATCGAAAAAGGCCTTGTGTGCAGAAACAAGGATCAGATCAGCAAGTACCCCATGTGCTTCAACTACCAGGTCAGTATGCTGTGCTGTGACCGCAAACACTGTACGACAACACCAAGCACCACGCCAAGCTCTACAGCTAAGCTCACTCCCACAGAAACCTCCACTGAGACAACCCAGACTCCCGCACCACCCACCCCTTCCTCTACACTACCCGAGCCGACAACGCCAACCAGTGCTGGCACCACGGTTGTGATCAAGACCAGTGTCCCTGCGACACCGGGCACGACCATCCTCAGCACATCCACAGTGCCCACCTCACCCACCAGCAGTAAAAGCAGACCCACGACCACTGCAGAAATGACCACAACGTCCTCCACAACGTCCATTCCGGTCGAAACGTCCACTGCGGCAACACCTACTCCAGCATCTGCCACTACCCGCCTCTACGCTTCCCCAGTCAACGCTGACGACCACCACCAGCACCACGGTAATCAGCACGACCCCCACCTCCCTGGCACAGAGCACAACCACATTCACAGCCCCAAGCAGTGCCAGCAGCGCCAAGACCTCCACCCCCGTGACAGTGCCCACAACCACCATCATTTCCACACCAACAGAGCCCATCACACCCAACAGCAGTGCCAGCACCATCAAGACCTCTCCCCCTGGGACAGAGCCCACAACCACCGTCATTTCCACACCAACGGAGCCCATCACACCCAACAGCAGTGCCAGCACCATCAAGACCTCTCCCCCTGAAACAAAAGGCACCACCACCATCACACCAACAGCGTCCACCTCACCCACCAGTACCGCCAGCACCTCCACCACCACTGGTGGGTGCCATGAGCGCTGTGCCTGGACTCAGTGGTTTGACGTGGACTCCCCAGGACAAGGTAGTGACGATGGAGACATAGAGACGTTTGCAAGCATCAGAGCCGCTGGATTTGAAGTGTGCATCAACCCACAGGACATCAACTGCCGTGCTGAAAACTACCCCAACAGGAGCCTGGAGAGCCTGGGCCAGGTACTGGAGTGCAGCGTCGAAAAAGGCCTTGTGTGCAGAAACAAGGATCAGATCAGCAAGTACCCCATGTGCTTCAACTACCAGGTCAGTATGCTGTGCTGTGACCGCAAACACTGTACGACAACACCAAGCACCACGCCAAGCTCTACAGCTAAGCCCACTCCCACAGAAACCTCCACTGAGACAACCCAGACTCCCGCACCACCCACCCCTTCCTCTACACTACCCGAGCCGACAACGCCAACCAGTGCTGGCACCACGGTTGTGATCAAGACCAGTGTCCCTGCGACACCGGGCACGACCATCCTCAGCACATCCACAGCGCCCACCTCACCCACCAGCAGTAAAAGCAGACCCACGACCACTGCAGAAATGACCACAACGTCCTCCACAACGTCCATTCCGGTCGAAACGTCCACTGCGGCGACACCTACTCCAGCATCATCCCACTACCGCCTCTACGCTTCCCCAGTCAACGCTGACGACCACCACCAGCACCACGGTAATCAGCACGACCCCCACCTCCCTGGCACAGAGCACAACCACATTCACAGCCCCAAGCAGTGCCAGCAGCGCCAAGACCTCCACCCCCGTGACAGTGCCCACAACCACCATCATTTCCACACCAACAGAGCCCATCACACCCAACAGCAGTGCCAGCACCATCAAGACCTCTCCCCCTGGGACAGAGCCCACAACCACCATCATTTCCACACCAACGGAGCCCATCACACCCAACAGCAGTGCCAGCACCATCAAGACCTCTCCCCCTGAAACAAAAGGCACCACCACCATCACACCAACAGCGTCCACCTCACCCACCAGTACCGCCAGCACCTCCACCACCACTGGTGGGTGCCATGAGCGCTGTGCCTGGACTCAGTGGTTTGACGTGGACTCCCCAGGACAAGGTAGTGACGATGGAGACATAGAGACGTTTGCAAGCATCAGAGCCGCTGGATTTGAAGTGTGCATCAACCCACGGGACATCAACTGCCGTGCTGAAAACTACCCCAACAGGAGCCTGGAGAGCCTGGGCCAGGTACTGGAGTGCAGCGTCGAAAAAGGCCTTGTGTGCAGAAACAAGGATCAGATCAGCAAGTACCCCATGTGCTTCAACTACCAGGTCAGTATGCTGTGCTGTGACCGCAAACACTGTACGACAACACCAAGCACCACGCCAAGCTCTACAGCTAAGCCCACTCCCACAGAAACCTCCACTGAGACAACCCAGACTCCCGCACCACCCACCCCTTCCTCTACACTACCCGAGCCGACAACGCCAACCAGTGCTGGCACCACGGTTGTGATCAAGACCAGTGTCCCTGCCGACACCGGGCACGACCATCCTCAGCACATCCACAGCGCCCACCTCACCCACCAGCAGTAAAAGCAGACCCACGACCACTGCAGAAATGACCACAACGTCCTCCACAACGTCCATTCCGGTCGAAACGTCCACTGCGGCGACACCTACTCCAGCATCTCCCACTACCGCCTCTACGCTTCCCCAGTCAACGCTGACGACCACCACCAGCACCACGGTAATCAGCACGACCCCCACCTCCCTGGCACAGAGCACAACCACATTCACAGCCCCAAGCAGTGCCAGCAGCGCCAAGACCTCCACCCCCGTGACAGTGCCCACAACCACCATCATTTCCACACCAACAGAGCCCATCACACCCAACAGCAGTGCCAGCACCATCAAGACCTCTCCCCCTGGGACAGAGCCCACAACCACCATCATTTCCACACCAACGGAGCCCATCACACCCAACAGCAGTGCCAGCACCATCAAGACCTCTCCCCCTGAAACAAAAGGCACCACCACCATCACACCAACAGCGTCCACCTCACCCACCAGTACCGCCAGCACCTCCACCACCACTGGTGGGTGCCATGAGCGCTGTGCCTGGACTCAGTGGTTTGACGTGGACTCCCCAGGACAAGGTAGTGACGATGGAGACATAGAGACGTTTGCAAGCATCAGAGCCGCTGGATTTGAAGTGTGCATCAACCCACAGGGACATCAACTGCCGTGCTGAAAACTACCCCAACAGGAGCCTGGAGAGCCTGGGCCAGGTACTGGAGTGCAGCGTCGAAAAAGGCCTTGTGTGCAGAAACAAGGATCAGATCAGCAAGTACCCCATGTGCTTCAACTACCAGGTCAGTATGCTGTGCTGTGACCGCAAACACTGTACGACAACACCAAGCACCACGCCAAGCTCTACAGCTAAGCCCACTCCCACAGAAACCTCCACTGAGACAACCCAGACTCCCGCACCACCCACCCCTTCCTCTACACTACCCGAGCCGACAACGCCAACCAGTGCTGGCACCACGGTTGTGATCAAGACCAGTGTCCCTGCGACACCGGGCACGACCATCCTCAGCACATCCACAGCGCCCACCTCACCCACCAGCAGTAAAAGCAGACCCACGACCACTGCAGAAATGACCACAACGTCCTCCACAACGTCCATTCCGGTCGAAACGTCCACTGCGGCGACACCTACTCCAGCATCTCCCACTACCGCCTCTACGCTTCCCCAGTCAACGCTGACGACCACCACCAGCACCACGGTAATCAGCACGACCCCCACCTCCCTGGCACAGAGCACAACCACATTCACAGCCCCAAGCAGTGCCAGCAGCGCCAAGACCTCCACCCCCGTGACAGTGCCCACAACCACCATCATTTCCACACCAAACAGAGCCCATCACAACCAACAGCAGTGCCAGCACCATCAAGACCTCTCCCCCTGGACAGAGCCCACAAACCACCATCATTTTCCACACAACGGAGCCCACAACCCACCATCATTTCCACACCAACGGAGCCCATCACACCCAACAGCAGTGCCAGCACCATCAAGACCTCTCCCCCTGAAACAAAGGCACCACCACCATCACACACACCAACAGCGTCCACCTCACCCACCAGTAACCCGCCAGCACCTCCACCACCACTGGTGGGTGCCTATGAGCGCTGTGCCTGGACTCAGTGGTTTGACGTGGACTCCCCAGGACAAGGTAGTGACGATGGAGACATAGAGACGTTTGCAAGCATCAGAGCCGCTGGATTTGAAGTGTGCATCAACCCACGGGACATCAACTGCCGTGCTGAAAACTACCCCAACAGGAGCCTGGAGAGCCTGGGCCAGGTACTGGAGTGCAGCGTCGAAAAAGGCCTTGTGTGCAGAAACAAGGATCAGATCAGCAAGTACCCCATGTGCTTCAACTACCAGGTCAGTATGCTGTGCTGTGACCGCAAACACTGTACGACAACACCAAGCACCACGCCAAGCTCTACAGCTAAGCCCACTCCCACAGAAACCTCCACTGAGACAACCCAGACTCCCGCACCACCCACCCCTTCCTCTACACTACCCGAGCCGACAACGCCAACCAGTGCTGGCACCACGGTTGTGATCAAGACCAGTGTCCCTGCGACACCGGGCACGACCATCCTCAGCACATCCACAGCGCCCACCTCACCCACCAGCAGTAAAAGCAGACCCACGACCACTGCAGAAATGACCACAACGTCCTCCACAACGTCCATTCCGGTCGAAACGTCCACTGCGGCGACACCTACTCCAGCATCTCCCACTACCGCCTCTACGCTTCCCCAGTCAACGCTGACGACCACCACCAGCACCACGGTAATCAGCACGACCCCCACCTCCCTGGCACAGAGCACAACCACATTCACAGCCCCAAGCAGTGCCAGCAGCGCCAAGACCTCCACCCCCGTGACAGTGCCCACAACCACCATCATTTCCACACCAACAGAGCCCATCACACCCAACAGCAGTGCCAGCACCATCAAGACCTCTCCCCCTGGGACAGAGCCCACAACCACCATCATTTCCACACCAACGGAGCCCATCACACCCAACAGCAGTGCCAGCACCATCAAGACCTCTCCCCCTGAAACAAAAGGCACCACCACCATCACACCAACAGCGTCCACCTCACCCACCAGTACCGCCAGCACCTCCACCACCACTGGTGGGTGCCATGAGCGCTGTGCCTGGACTCAGTGGTTTGACGTGGACTCCCCAGGACAAGGTAGTGACGATGGAGACATAGAGACGTTTGCAAGCATCAGAGCCGCTGGATTTGAAGTGTGCATCAACCCACAGGACATCAACTGCCGTGCTGAAAACTACCCCAACAGGAGCCTGGAGAGCCTGGGCCAGGTACTGGAGTGCAGCGTCGAAAAAGGCCTTGTGTGCAGAAACAAGGATCAGATCAGCAAGTACCCCATGTGCTTCAACTACCAGGTCAGTATGCTGTGCTGTGACCGCAAACACTGTACGACAACACCAAGCACCACGCCAAGCTCTACAGCTAAGCCCACTCCCACAGAAACCTCCACTGAGACAACCCAGACTCCCGCACCACCCACCCCTTCCTCTACACTACCCGAGCCGACAACGCCAACCAGTGCTGGCACCACGGTTGTGATCAAGACCAGTGTCCCTGCGACACCGGGCACGACCATCCTCAGCACATCCACAGCGCCCACCTCACCCACCAGCAGTAAAAGCAGACCCACGACCACTGCAGAAATGACCACAACGTCCTCCACAACGTCCATTCCGGTCGAAACGTCCACTGCGGCGACACCTACTCCAGCATCTCCCACTACCGCCTCTACGCTTCCCCAGTCAACGCTGACGACCACCACCAGCACCACGGTAATCAGCACGACCCCCACCTCCCTGGCACAGAGCACAACCACATTCACAGCCCCAAGCAGTGCCAGCAGCGCCAAGACCTCCACCCCCGTGACAGTGCCCACAACCACCATCATTTCCACACCAACAGAGCCCATCACACCCAACAGCAGTGCCAGCACCATCAAGACCTCTCCCCCTGGGACAGAGCCCACAACCACCATCATTTCCACACCAACGGAGCCCATCACACCCAACAGCAGTGCCAGCACCATCAAGACCTCTCCCCCTGAAACAAAAGGCACCACCACCATCACACCAACAGCGTCCACCTCACCCACCAGTACCGCCAGCACCTCCACCACCACTGGTGGGTGCCATGAGCGCTGTGCCTGGACTCAGTGGTTTGACGTGGACTCCCCAGGACAAGGTAGTGACGATGGAGACATAGAGACGTTTGCAAGCATCAGAGCCGCTGGATTTGAAGTGTGCATCAACCCACGGGACATCAACTGCCGTGCTGAAAACTACCCCAACAGGAGCCTGGAGAGCCTGGGCCAGGTACTGGAGTGCAGCGTCGAAAAAGGCCTTGTGTGCAGAAACAAGGATCAGATCAGCAAGTACCCCATGTGCTTCAACTACCAGGTCAGTATGCTGTGCTGTGACCGCAAACACTGTACGACAACACCAAGCACCACGCCAAGCTCTACAGCTAAGCCCACTCCCACAGAAACCTCCACTGAGACAACCCAGACTCCCGCACCACCCACCCCTTCCTCTACACTACCCGAGCCGACAACGCCAACCAGTGCTGGCACCACGGTTGTGATCAAGACCAGTGTCCCTGCGACACCGGGCACGACCATCCTCAGCACATCCACAGCGCCCACCTCACCCACCAGCAGTAAAAGCAGACCCACGACCACTGCAGAAATGACCACAACGTCCTCCACAACGTCCATTCCGGTCGAAACGTCCACTGCGGCGACACCTACTCCAGCATCTCCCCACTACCGCCTCTACGCTTCCCCAGTCAACGCTGACGACCACCACCAGCACCACGGTAATCAGCACGACCCCCACCTCCCTGGCACAGAGCACAACCACATTCACAGCCCCAAGCAGTGCCAGCAGCGCCAAGACCTCCACCCCCGTGACAGTGCCCACAACCACCATCATTTCCACACCAACAGAGCCCATCACACCCAACAGCAGTGCCAGCACCATCAAGACCTCTCCCCCTGGGACAGAGCCCACAACCACCATCATTTCCACACCAACGGAGCCCATCACACCCAACAGCAGTGCCAGCACCATCAAGACCTCTCCCCCTGAAACAAAAGGCACCACCACCATCACACCCACCCCTTCCTCTACACTACCCGAGCCGACAACGCCAACCAGTGCTGGCACCACGGTTGTGATCAAGACCAGTGTCCCTCCGACACCAGGCACGACCATCCTCAGCACATCCACAGCGCCCACCTCACCCACCAGCAGTAAAAGCAGACCCACGACCACTGCAGAAATGACCACAACGTCCTCCACAACGTCCATTCCGGTCGAAACGTCCACTGCGGCAACACCTACTCCAGCATCACCCACTACCGCCTCTACGCTTCCCCAGTCAACGCTGACGACCACCACCAGCACCACGGTGATCAGCACGACCCCAACCTCCCTGGCACAGAGCACAACCACATTCACAGCCCCAAGCAGTGCCAGCAGCGCCAAGACTTCCACCCCGTGACAGTGCCCACAACCACCATCATTTCCACACCAACGGAGCCCATCACACCCAACAGCAGTGCCAGCACCATCAAGACCTCTCCCCCTGAAACAAAAGGCACCACCACCATCACACCAACAGCGTCCACCTCACCCACCAGTACCGCCAGCACCTCCACCACCACTGGTGGGTGCCATGAGCGCTGTGCCTGGACTCAGTGGTTTGACGTGGACTCCCCAGGACAAGGTAGTGACGATGGAGACATAGAGACGTTTGCAAGCATCAGAGCCGCTGGATTTGAAGTGTGCATCAACCCACGGGACATCAACTGCCGTGCTGAAAACTACCCCAACAGGAGCCTGGAGAGCCTGGGCCAGGTACTGGAGTGCAGCGTCGAAAAAGGCCTTGTGTGCAGAAACAAGGATCAGATCAGCAAGTACCCCATGTGCTTCAACTACCAGGTCAGTATGCTGTGCTGTGACCGCAAACACTGTACGACAACACCAAGCACCACGCCAAGCTCTACAGCTAAGCCCACTCCCACAGAAACCTCCACTGAGACAACCCAGACTCCCGCACCACCCACCCCTTCCTCTACACTACCCGAGCCGACAACGCCAACCAGTGCTGGCACCACGGTTGTGATCAAGACCAGTGTCCCTGCGACACCGGGCACGACCATCCTCAGCACATCCACAGCGCCCACCTCACCCACCAGCAGTAAAAGCAGACCCACGACCACTGCAGAAATGACCACAACGTCCTCCACAACGTCCATTCCGGTCGAAACGTCCACTGCGGCGACACCTACTCCAGCATCTCCCACTACCGCCTCTACGCTTCCCCAGTCAACGCTGACGACCACCACCAGCACCACGGTAATCAGCACGACCCCCACCTCCCTGGCACAGAGCACAACCACATTCACAGCCCCAAGCAGTGCCAGCAGCGCCAAGACCTCCACCCCCGTGACAGTGCCCACAACCACCATCATTTCCACACCAACAGAGCCCATCACACCCAACAGCAGTGCCAGCACCATCAAGACCTCTCCCCCTGGGACAGAGCCCACAACCACCATCATTTCCACACCAACGGAGCCCATCCCACCACCTGCACCTCCTCCACACGTCCATCGTCGAACCATGCGGCAACTACTCAGCATCTCCCACTACCGCCTCTACGCTTCCCCAGTCAAGCTGACGACCACCACCAGCACCACGGTGATCAGCACGACCCCAAACCTCCCTGGCACAGAGCACAACCACATTCACAGCCCCAAGCAGGCAGCAGCGCCAAGACCTCACCCCCGTGACAGTGCCCACAACCACCATCATTTCCACACCCAACAGAGGCCCATCACACCCAACAGCAGTGCCAGCACCATCAAGACCTCTCCCCCTGAAACAAAAGGCACCACCACCATCACACCAACAGCGTCCACCTCACCCACCAGTACCGCCAGCACCTCTTTTTCTTCTACCAATGAAAGTACCACCAGCTCTATTTTTTCCACTAGTTTTACCACCACTGGTAGCCCAGGTATGTCACTGTCAATCTCTCTTATTTTTGGAAGATCTTACACTGTTATAAGAGCATTGCTATCATTATCACCAAGTTTATTGTGCTGGTTTCTCAGTCAGGATTACATACTGGGGGACGAACTCATTGAGAGCATAATTCAGAGAGGGACTTGGGGGTTCTGGTGGTCAAAAGGCTTGCCACGAGCCAGCAGTTTGTGTTTGGAGTCCATAAGCCCAACTGCATTCTGGGCTACGTCAAAAGTGTTGTGACCAGCAAGTTGAGGAAGATTATTGGTCCCCTGTACTCTGCCCTCATGAGGCCCCGCCTGGAATACTGCATCCAGGTTTGGGGCCCCCAGCACGAGAAAGATGTTACCCTTTAGAGTGAGTCCAGAGAAGGGCTACAAAGATTATCAGTGGGCCTATAAAGAGATGTTGAGAGAGCTGGGGATGTTCAGCCTGAAGAAGAGAAGACTCTGGGGAGACCTCATCACAGGGTAAACATGAGGAATCAAGCACAGGGTAATAGGGAATATAAGGTTATGGTATACTGTGTGTTCCTGCTTGTAGGACACCCGCCATTGCAATCGCAAATACAATAGCTTCACAGAAGAACACGTCTGAAAAAAATTATTGAGATTTTTCTTACAATTGTGACAGTGGTGACTCTGAAACTTCTGAAAACATTAGAGCCAAAGATTTTACCATTTACAAAATCCAGATGATACTTGGTGTAGAGTTGTAAGATATCTCTCATCTCCATTTAACAAAAGCGGGTCAAATAGTGGAATGCAACCAAACATTGCCTTTAGTTACCTGAATATTGAACAGTCCCCTGCAGTATGGTGGAATTATTTGAACCAAAACCTGTGCTGTGCTATGAACTAAACTATGTTTTGTGCTTAACAGTATCTACATCTGGTACCTCACAGTCAAGTCACGTAACAACAAGCACTTCTGCGATTTTCAGTTCTTCCCTCACCACACCTTTCACAACAGAAGCAAGTACAATTGTTACATTAAGCAGACCAACTCCATGTTTTTGTCACGTCTCTGGTGATTTTTTTTCTCCTGGTGAGTTTCTTACTTTATGGTTGTAAAAATTTTCATAAGCAATATGAATCCTTAATAGTGTATTCAATTACAGACAACTACTCAAGATCACCCATAGATCTTTTAATAGATATATTTTTCACTATTTACTTTGTATTTTCACCTTTTTTTTTTTTCCTAAGTCATTTCATTGCTCTTTTAATTTCTCCTTCATCTTTTCTCTACAGGGGAAGTTGTATACAACAAAACAGATAGGGCTGGATGTAGTTTTTATTCGCTTTGCAGCAATGAATGCGAAATTGCCCCATTTCAAGGGCCATGTCCTCCAACAACTCCTTTAACTTCAGAGTCCTCAAAAACAACAACACAAGCCTCCTCATCCACAGAACACATATTTTCTTCTGTCTCACCAACCACAGCAACATCCCTCACAACTGCAACAGAAAGAAACTGTACTGATGTCAGTCCTCCACGAAAGGTGGTTACTGTTATTTTTTATAATATATGACCTTTGCAAAAACTGCCCAGTGTCTGTCTTCTATTAGCCAATTCAAATCATGTGTTATTTCAGTAACAAAGGTGGTCATGTTACAAATGGCCTTATAGCACTTAAAACTGGCACCATTAGGCTTTTAAATCCCCTGGAGGTGGAAAAGCTCACTAATATCATGGCAGAGACTTTTTAAAATAAAAGATTAAAGTGTCATGGCAGTAAGTAGACCTGCTATGAAAATGTTAGAATGGCCTTCCTTCTACAGAGAAGAGAGAATTCCATGATTGTTCTCAGCTTGCCTGCTCTTAAGGCCTGAAATCATATGCTAACAAATTTCTAATCTGAAATCCTTACCAATCGTGAGAGTCTAACGCAGGTTGACCCAGAATAATTAGAGTGAAAGACCACTTAAGAATAAATTATTTATGTATTTTCAGCCTGGAGAGAAATGGACAAGTGAATGCCAGGACTGTGAATGTAACCCACTCAATTCTACTGTGCAATGTCAGCCACGCCTATGCCAAATAGTTCAGACACCAATTTGTGAGATAGGATTTGTTTCCACACCTGTATTACCATCAGAAGACCCATGTTGTCCTAAATATGAATGCAGTAAGTATTAAAAATACATATGCACGCACCAAGCTACACACTGTGGGAAATAACACTTGCGCTGCTGTTAATATCTAAGCAGGTTCTATATATATGTAACGTTAACAGCAAAATCTGTTAAATTGTTCTCACTCAGTGAACACACATCAATTTTTTGCTAAATATGCGTTAGAAGTTCATCTTAAAACAACACATTATATTCAATGAAGTCTCCTGAGAACTGGAGACTTCGGGTGGAAGAGCAGGATAATACTCTGACCCTACATGTATTTGATGTACCTCAAGTCTCTCTGTATCTGGCTATTAAGGTTATTAATGTATTTTACGTTATTAGTGTAATATTGAATCACATTAATATTGGCCTAACTACAGCTAAACAAAGATGAATAAACATAAGGATGAGCCAGCAGACAGCTTTATATTTAACTGCTAAAGTAGGTAACATGAAGCAACAAAGTGAATCATAGTCAGTAACTGAAGCACAAAAAAACATAATTACACATGCTATTGTAGAACACGGATGAAAAATTAACAATCCAGTGTGTATATATGTTTATATATGTATATTTTTTATAAATGAAACAAAACCAAAAGATAACCATAATTTAAGCCTGAAGCAGGGAGATCAAGTTTTCCATAATCTCTGCGTTTTTAACAAACCTTGATAACATCTTGACTTCTCTGAAAATCTCACAACTTAAGTTTACTTTGAATTTTTTGTTGTTTTTCAGTACGAATACCCAACATCTGTGTGGTCAATCGCACAATGTATACGGTAAGAACGTGATACTTACAATGCCCTATTAACAGAACTGAAATGTACACCCTTTCCACCACAAAAGCCCTTGAGAAAATTATTTTCCCAATTCATTTCATGTCATTCCATCCTTAACTCTAAACTGAATGTGTTTTTTTCTTTTTCTAATGTCAAAACCAAAACTGTCCCAGAAGAGTTCCTCAAGATGGAGTGTAAAACAAGTGTGCCATTTAAAAAAAAAAAAAAAAAAAAACTAGTTGTGGATTTTTTTTTTATTTTCTTTTTTTTGCAGAGGGTCTAATGCATCACCTGAGCTCAGCCATTATTTGAAATAAGCACTGAAAGCCTTCAAAAATAAAGCCAGGATTTTTGCGTTAATTGATATGTAAATATTTTGCTGAAATTGGTACCTACGTCTTTTTCAAAATTTAAACAGCAGCACCACAGCCTTGTGGGAATGCATTTTAAAAAGACTAAAATCCACCTGTAAATTTGTATCACTGCTTATGTATGTATCTCCAATTATTTTAATCTCCATTTGTAAGTTATAATTGTTTTATAACCTCTGAAAATGTCTTATATGAGAAAAAAAAATCTTAAATGGAGCATTGAAAAACTGGTAAAATACTGAGGTCATACAAACCGGTCATACCTGCATTTTATTACTTTTTTTATATCACTTTCTTTAGATTCCTCCTAATGTTTTCTGGTAAAGCATAAGATCAAACAATTCTGTGTTCAAAGAGAATTGAGAAACTCATGTTTCCATTTCAGCAACCATTAATGGTACACAACAGTGCTCTCAATCCTGCCAGTAAATTATAAGGACGCTGTTTAGATTTAATGTTGTTCCCATCCCCTCTCTCTTCCAGCCTGGAACGTCCATACCAATTGATTCATGTAAGAATTGTACCTGCAGTTCTGAAAAGGATCCAGTGACTAGTGCCAATATTGTGCAGTGTGAACCAGTGCAATGTGAAACATCTTGCCCACTGGTGAGTTCTGATTCTCTAGGATGTCCCATCAGCCCTCAATTTAATAATTTAATAAGACTATTCAATTCAATTTAATTACTCAATAAGACTAGAATTAGCCGTCAACAACTCAACATACTTTCTCTTTCATCTCTATGCGAGTAGGGTACATGAATATAAGATTGAGGATGGAGACTGCTGTGGGAAGTGTGTTGAAGTAGCTTGCAAAATCAAACTAAGTAACAACACTATTCAAGTGCTCAACGTAAGTATTCTATTCAATTTCATATCTCAATTTCATATCTCAATTAATCAATATGTCCCTGCCTAGTAAGAATCTGTTTAACATTGAAATTACTCTGAGAACTACACAGTTTTCTGAAGATTCACTTGGAAAAAGAATTCTTGATATTTGCGATTAACTGGGTAATGGTAACTATTTAGATCTAGGATTTCAGCTTTTAAGCAAGCCAGCTTGCAAAATTTGGCTTTTCCCATTTACCGCTTGAAAGAACTTCAGATGCATCTCAAAGTCATTGAAGTGTGAGACCTTAATCAGCTAGACATTTTTGAAGTAACCATACTATACTTGATCTCAATGGATTTTTTTTCTCTTCAAATCATAGGTTGATGAGACTCTGCCACTTGATCTCTGCAACTACTACAAATGTGAAAAAATTGAAGATCAATATGTTACAGTCCAAACTAAAAGAGTGTGCCCTGAATTCGATCCAACAGAGTGTGATCCTGTAAGTTTTAATCAATTCTTCATGTATCAAATGCAGCTTAAAAGCTCAAAGGAGGCAGGGAAGAAAGAAAGAATGCAACAAATCACTTTCATTAAAGTTGCAGAATGAAATTAATTTTGCTGTAACGATACTATTGAGAGAAACATACTATTTTTATGTGAGCCTACAAGGATTCAAGACTTCTGTGGTGTGGACTCAGCCAGTAAGACACCCATGGTTTCGCTCTGTTCATCACAGAGGAGCCTTCTTCCTAGTATTAGTAATGTTAACTGGTATTCATACTCCTGATTGTCATCCATGCTTTAACACAAATCCTCCTTCTTTATTTCTGCAAAGGATGAAACAGAGACTACTCCTGATGGCTGCTGCAAGATATGTAAACGTAAGTAATACTGTGTTCATGTTTTCCACTTCTGAACAGCTATATTCAACTTCTGTCTATATTCAGGTGGAAGGAAGGATTCATCACTCCCCCATTTTTCACTTATTCTATTTATCAAGACCCTTTGTTTCAGTTTCTTCAAAAGGAAAAAGCAAATGTTTGCCTGATATTGAATACCACAACTCAAGCCACCGATGCTCAAGCCTCAGCACTATCTTCCAAATACACTGTACAGCTGAGATCAAAGAATAACTTGAAATCCCTAAACACATTACACAGTATCCCCTACTGTTGCATACTGTACATATATTCTCAATAATAAGACCTCATGCACAGTGAAGTTGTTTAAGCATGTAGTTCTAAACTGGAGGTTTGAAGCATCTGTTTATTTTTTTCTGTTCTTCTGAAGCTACAAACTGCAAAGTTTACAGCACAAAAACAGTGATCCGACATGAAGACTGTGAATCTTCTGAACCTGTTGAGCTGGCCTCTTGTCAAGGGACTTGTCCTGGCTCCTCTGTGTAAGTTCCCAAAAAAATAATTTAGCATCCCTTTAGCTTCATTTGTAGTGTGGTTTCTGTTAACTTAATCACAGAATAGCAACAAAGTTAACATGTTCACAATTCCATTGAGTAGAATCATACTCAAAGAACAGTTTTGCTATTGAAAATATAAGTTATTAAAAATCACAGTCATAAGGTAGTGAGGGAGGGGAGTATGTGTGAAAAAAGTCACTACGGGGTTCTTGGGTGTTGATTTTTAATGAGAATATATGCCTTCTTTTTCTGGCAAAATGCAGGTATTCTTTTGAAGCAAACCAGATGCAACATGAATGTAGTTGCTGCCAGGAGTTCAGCAGCCAAACAAGAGAGGTGACCCTGACTTGCCAAAATGGAACAAGCATAAATTATAACTATGTCTATGTGGAACAGTGCCAGTGTATGAATGCATGCACTTCACAGATCTCTCAAATAGATGATTACCAATCAAAAATCAGTGAAAAACTGACATGATCATTGCCAAAAGAAAACAGAGCCTAGGGAAGCTAGAATCACATCTTCCTGAAAAATAACCTGCACTTCTTCTTTAACTGATACTATTTCAGTTTGTTATCTTTTATCTTACTTTATTTTTTTTGTAAAAACAGGTTTTTGTTTTGTTTTGTTTTATTTAAATGATACAGTTTTAAAAGTGAAAAATAAATGACCATGTAAAATATCTTGCTGTACATTATGGAAATAGGTCAGTATGTATCAGTGCGATCACAGATCACAAAATTGACTTTCTACAAAAAGACTAAAAGGGCTCTAAAAATAAAACCAGGAAACAGTGTAGCTACATTGCACTTAACTCTTGTGACTAGAGAAAGTTTTATTGGATAGCATTTTCATGGATGTAATGCTCTTGACAGACATCACACAGTGACAGAGAAAAGACTGTTTTGCTGTTCATTTTGTCTCTTATTTGATCAATAAAACTTTCAGCATTTTTCAAATGCATGAGTGGTGACTTTGATACTTGTGTTCACTATCTAAATGATGGGAAGTTAATGACAGCAGAGTTCTCTTTTTTTGTTGTTGGTGGTGGTTTTATAAGATCAGATTGGTGTAATCTCAGTTTCCTGTATTATCTAAAAGTTTTTGAATGGATTTACACTGGAGAGAAATGTGGCTGCATTTTCCCACAGCAGTTCATCATGTTCACCTGCACTGTTTGGAGCATTTACCATACCAGTATCTGTTACAACACAAAGCCTGATATCTAACCTAAAGGCTTGGCTGAAAAACAAAGGAGGAACTGATTGATCAAATAATTACACATTTTATACGTGTTTATTTAGAAGTGGAATTCAATCCCTGACTGAAATCAGTAGCACCCTCTCTATTGGCCTTCTCAGGCAGGACCTGATCTCATATTGGGATTATACAGAGGGAGGCTATACATTTTAGCATTGAACTCCATATCATAAGTACAGTTTGCCAGACCCACAGCGGGAGCAAAGGCTTCAAGCAGGGTTACTACCTATGACAGCAGAGCAGACAGTACTTCCTGCGCCTTCTCTGATAAGGCCACTTGTCATTGGGAACAGGGGCTGGAGCCAGACCAGCCCTGCTCTGCCTGTTCCACAATTTCACCACTGCATTCTCAGACCCTGAACCCCAGGTATCACTCTGAGGAGACATCAGAAGAGCAACTGGGGGTGTCAAGCAGTTTGACAGCTTCCATGCAGCTTTCCCTATCTCTGGCTTCTGCAGTGTTTAGAGCTTTGGGCATATCATGACAGGAACAAAGTGAGCCTGCTGGAATCTAGAACTGTGGTGGCATGCATAACCAGCACACCTGCCATGGGAGGGCTTGCTGTAAGAGGCATTCACATACACCGGCCATGTGAAACCTGGCATTATAATGCTGAGCTAGCAATCAAAATTTGGGTTGGGCAAATCAATGCCTGCAGAGTTCACAGGTCACTGGGTGCAGAACTCAAAATCCCAGGACAGTAACATTAAAAAAAAAAAAAAAATCTAAACACTTCTGAAACTGCCTTTGAGCTCAGACTGAAACCAGTGAAATTTGGGTGCATTTCCCCTTCCTCTCCACCTCCCTAATCCCTATACTCCAGGTGTTTAGTACCATGTTCACAGTTTACAAAGCTTCCTTAACTTTTCCTGGGCTGCTGGTTTTCCTGAATTGTTAGTACTGTGTTAGCACATTAATAGGACGTTCCAGTTCGAGTCTTAAGCTGCCCTCTAATGGTCATTTACTTTTCTAAGAACTAACACAGGACCTATTTCCTTAATTCTACTGGGGACATTAAGCTTCACAGAGCATCTTCATCCATCAGAGATCAGTAACAGTAGCAGTTAAAAATATTTTAATTGAATGTAAACTATGGAAGATGTAGAGGTTATTCCTCAAAGCTGGATACCAAATGAGATCTCACTGGGGTCCTCAATGGGAACGTACCACATTCCACATTCATGGGGAAAAAAAAAAACAAAAAAACACCATAATTGACAGGCCAGAAAATATGAGTGTAGTTCAGGTGTGGTGTTTTGTGTTTTTGTTTGTTTGTTGTACTTTAAAACCAGTCCTTTGGAAAATGCTAGAGACCACTGAATTTTGTCTGATGTCCTTAAAATACAGTTTCTCATTTTTTAAGGGAATTTTCTCCTCTTGATATTCCCACATTATGCGCTCTCTTCAAAGTTTGCTTGGGACTCGGAGAAAAATTGAGAAATAGGAAAATTCACCATAATAAATGGAAGCTGTTCTCAGTTTACAGCATCAATTAAATTTCATCTAGTCTTTTAAATTATTTTTAGTCTATTTGGCTATTTTCTAGTCCTCCATCTGACTGAACATTGTCAATAGTTTCTATTTTGGAAAGCCTAGAGCAAGCATAAGTAATCAATGTGGAAGGCAAAGGGCCTTATAAATGAATGCTGTGCAAATATCTCATCCAGTTCAATTCGGTGATAACTAAGTTTTGTTCTCCCAGTTATGAACTATGGCTACATATTATGGACGTTCCTTTGAAACTTGCAAGTGTCTTATGTGTAAGTACTACAGTTCCACAAATACACCAGCTTTTACCGAGCACTTATATTTGCTCAGTTCTAATGCGAGATCAGACAATAAAACCTTTAAATTAGTTGCAAATGGGACATACCTAAATTATCAATACAGTCAAAACAAATCTCCACAGATTTGTTTAAGTGTCAGAACATTGCCACATCAATAAATTGCACTAACTGGGTAGTTTCACCATATATGCATATTACTACACGACCTCCCCTAATGCAGAAGTCCACCATAGTTAGTTATGAATTTACTATAGAATAGAAATTACTTGTCTATTTCCTAATGTAGACAAATGTTTTTCTGTGTTAAGTTTACGTGAAACATCAGTGTACTTCATTATGGTAAATATAGGCTGAAAAGTCTGTTTCAGTTTCAGGTTATTTTGATATCCCCCCACAAATTTTTAAACCTCATGCTACAGGCCATATGCTGATTTTTAATTAGAGCTGTGAAAAAAATAAATCTCATTTTGCAACTTTCTCTTACCAGTACTATAAAAAAGGACACAAGGCATGTACCTCACAGGGTTATTTTCTGTGCAATGATCTCAGCATCAGTTTCTGCCAGCAGCAGTACATAGGCTGGACTGACTGCCAGCCTTATTCCTGTTAGGGTTCAAATGAAAATTAAATATGCAAGAGGATATACATGTATATTACAGCTTTCTATGTGTGGTTAATTACCAATTAAGAATACATAGTTGATGGTTAAACACCTGAAAAATCTAACAATAACCTGAAGTTTCTCATGCAGCAGTGCTTACCACATGATCTGCAATGAAAACGGGCCTGATCCAAAACAGTAAATTTTGTGAAAATATCCTTTTGATACCAGGCTGATTTGAATCAAACCCCGCATTTAAGGAAAAAGACAGGCAATGTTGTTTACATTGCTAAGTACCTCACCCCTGAAAGTGCTGATCCAGTTCTATTAATACAAACAAGCTTAGGTACTACAGCCTTATTCTCATGACTAAATTGTGTAGATGTGCTACTCAATTGCCATAAGAAAGCTGCTTCTTAAACACTTCTCAGATTTGTTGGAAGCATTACTATTTCTTGGCTGCATACACATCTCTTTACAAAAGAAGGTTGCAGCACACAATATGGAAATCCATTTTCCTTCTCTCTCTAATTAGACTGTTTTTCAACATAACATACTAAACAGTGATGGGAAACAGGACATGAGAAATCCCTTGCAATCAGATTATCATCCACATAGAATTTCTCATTTTCTCACCTATTTTAAGTTCTTACAGTATCTAAACTGTACATGAACGTGCCCTTTCTAACCAATTAGAGATTTTAATGGTATGCAATTAAATTCAAATTTACGCTTTGTAAAAACAACTCAAGTAGTAATTTTCTTCATAACGTTAAGAATAGTTAGAAGTACTAGTAAAAAAATGAACATTTTTCAACACTTCACTGCAACTCGAAGTAAAAAATATTAAAAATAGCAATACCCTCATCCCTCTTGTTTACGAGTTTCTCCATATTTTCTGGCACCACATAAGTTAGAACGAATTTAGAACTTATTACAAAATTCCATGCCATTAAAACCATGCTGTCATAGCCTTTTAAGTTTTATATTTTCTTCAGTAGTTATACTGCAGCGCTGGAACTGCGTATCTGATTCCTCTTTCTGTTCTTCAATGCCTCTCACTATCAGCAAAAAAGCAATCTTTGTGTGATGATCAAAAAACATGAGGCAGACTGATAAAAACTTTTGTAATCAGTCTGTTGTTTGAGTTTGAACACACCTACAGCAGACCGGTATTTTCATTCTGTAAATTTTTATTAAATGAAGTAATCAAGCCCTAAACTAAACTGAAACTGTTGCCAGTTTACTTGTACAAGATTAAATTTTAAAAAGAATCTAGTGATAATAAGCAAGCTTATTTGACACTGCTTTGATAAAGAACAGAATAAATACTGTTTATAAAGGGAATTCCATTTTGTGAGCTGGCTCTAAAGAGATGCTACAACACATGTTTTAAAAATTACTTAGTGCTTCATTTCTTTTTATGTTTTAAAATAAGCGAATTAAGCATTTCATATTAACCTGAATCCACCACATTAAGCTGAGTACTATCACAGAAATTGTACATTGTAGACCATGACCAAGAGCCAAACTACTGAAACTAATCCAAAAAGAAACACAGACAGCACAGACACAGAAGGTGAACAGCACAGTGAGTTAAAAAATACAATAAACTTACTTTATAATTGGAATAAATTTAAAGTAAATTCAATCATCCCTCATTCACTTCCAATGAAGACTGCATTACAATTTAAAAGGTTGCTCAGTCTGCTTCATATTCCAGATTATCACACTCAATACTTTAAAAATATGTTCTAAATGAATTCTTCAAATATTTCATACAGCAATATTTTCATGGTTCTCCCACACATGGAAATACAAATGTAACGAAGATCAATTTCAATCTACTTGCTTCTACAACCTCACTATTGCAATTTATTTGCAGCTTTTTCTTCAAAAGTTATGGTGTACTATAAAGTACAGCCTGTTTTCCTTACAAAATTAATTCTACATTTTGGCAAATAGAAAAACAACAACAACAACAACAACCTTCTGGTGTATACAAACAGTAGTATGGAAATAGTTCAATTTGGGTTTCTGAACAAGCTTACTGAAAACCTGGGAGAGAAGGCTGAAATCGCCAGTAGGCTACACCTTAAAACTGCTAATAATGCTTATTCTTCCTGCTTACTCTAAAACAAACAAACAAACAAAAAACAACAACTCATATTTGCATTTCTTCCTAGAGGCCCTGTTTTCACTGATATACTTACATGTTTTAAGAATTCAAAATACACTGTTTTCTCCTTACACCCCCAAATTGCATCACTGGTTGATAAGCAC